CTTCCAGGTGTTTTCATTTAGAGAGCCCTATTCTCTATACAACTCGTGTTGACTCCATTCTTCCAGTTGAATACCTTCACAGGGCAAAACAACACAGCTAGACAGGTATGATGGATTTGTTACAAGACTAATCAGCTTGACTGTGAATGTCAACACAATGCTCTAGCATTCTCGTCTGGAGGATCAGTTCACGGACTGAGAATCAGGGGACCTCCACGGGATTATTATACTAATAGGGCATTGAATTTTAGTGCTTACGCATGATTGTACAGATTATTTCATTATTGGCCTAGATGTAAAATCAAGCTGAAAATAGCACTGTGAATGTGTATCCCTGTGGGAACAGGCTGTTTTACCTGGCTAAGGTGCACGAGCCATGGGGACCACATTTTGGGAAGTTGTAAGGTATTTATTCTGGGACATGAATGTTAAGACGCTGTCTTGATAAGAACCTCGCTATGAATATCAGTAAAACTTTAATTGCTGATACAGCACTAAGCCATATTCATTTACTCCCTCACTTGATAAGATCGACTGGGCTCCAATCCACAAAGTGTTTGTAGCACGTCATTCGTAAGCCTATGATAAATTACATGTGTATATAGTTATGATACATCGTAATGCTTCAAACGCTTCAGAGTTTCAACAGGTTATCCCAATGTTGAATCAGCCTGCTTTCTTCTTTGAGGAGCATTTAGAAGTTGTTCATCAATATGTCTTGTCCTTACTTAGCCAGTTTTCATACTTCCTAAATATTATGTATATATTTACGGAATATATGCTTTTTCTGTAGATAGTTACTTTCTTTAATAGGGTACCTTGTGTGAACCCATTCCTGGTTTTGCTGGTATATTGCTAAAAGTGGAGTAAAACCCAACTCCCTCACTCACTTTTGTCATTGAAGCCTTGCTGAGAATTTGGTTGACTGGAATCAGAAGGCAGTCGACTATAAAGGTCTATAAAAGTTCAGTGTCATGAAACTTTCAGGATGAGTCAATTTAGTTGTTTTGCCTGTGTGCCAGTCACTAACTCTATAGTGCCGACCAGTGTTGGACGTGAGTATATGATGACGGCTGTGCTGCTGCATGTGCCAGTCACTAACTCTATACTGCCGACCTCTGTTGGACGTGAGTATATGATGACGGCTGTGCTGCTGCATGTGCCAGTCACTAACTCTATACTGCCGACCTGTGTTGGACGTGAGTATATGATGACGGCTGTGCTTCTGCATGTGCCAGTCACTAACTCTATAGTGCCGACCAGTGTTGGACGTGAGTATATGATGACGGCTGTGCTGCTGCATGTGCCAGTCACTAACTCTATAGTGCCGACCAGTGTTGGACGTGAGTATATGATGACAGCTGTGCTTCTGCATGTGTCAGTCACTAACTCTATAAAGCCGACCTGTGTTGGACATGAGTATATGATGACGGCTGTGCTGCTGCATGTGCCAGTCACTAACTCTATAGTGCCGACCTGTGTTGGACGTGAGTATATGATGACGGCTGTGCTTCTGCATGTGCCAGTCACTAACTCTATAGTGCCGACCTGTGTTGGACGTGAGTATATGATGACGGCTGTGCTGCTGCATATGATGACGGCTGTGCTGCTGCATGTGCCAGTCACTAACTCTATAGTGCCGACCTGTGTTGGACGAGAGTATATGATGACGGCTGTGCTGCTGCATGTGCCAGTCACTAACTCTATAGTGCCGACCTGTGTTGGACGTGAGTATATGCTGTTGCATGGGTCATTAGGCTGGCAGTAGGACCTTCAATGTATTGTCAGTGTTTCGTACTTGAAGTCCTCCAAGATCTGATATATACCCATGCCTCACTAACTTTCTATACAGTGGTTGATCAGCTTCTGGTTGTAGCAGATATTCTACATGGTCGTTATATTGCTGCCTTTGGAATGTTGTAGGTTTCAGTGTCACTGGAATTGAGGAGAGTTTGTTTCAATACATCAATTGTTATTGAAGAATTGTAAATATTTAGCATACGTTGGTAATTATGTACGTGGTTGGTTGCAAATTGGCTAAGAAAACAAGTAGACAGTCAACTCAGGATATAAGCTTGTTATATATCACCACTCCGTGAAGGTCACATTTGGGTTTGTTGTAGGTGAATGTTCACCAATACACATGTCTTCATTATATCTGAAGTATTATATTTGCATCTGAAATGTTTGAAAACAAACGGTCATGGTAATCACTGAGGTAGAAATACTGAGTGTAAAAACTTTCCGATATTTGAACATGTGTATTTCAGTGTTTCACAATATGCTGATTGATCTGTTGAAGATATGTGACATCACACAGAATTGAAAGATCGTAAATTTTGTGGTCTGGCGAACACAGAAAACAATCGCTCTCAGTATTTGACCCCTTTAGATGTATATGTCTCTTACAAATAATACTATGTGCATGCTTGCACGTATTAACTTACATAACTACGTATTTGTATCAACGCATCTCCACATTAAAGATGTGTAAAAATTATCATTGACGCCCATCGTTCCAAACAGGAAGTACCGGTAATCAGCTGGTAAAGTTGAAAAATAAAATATAAACATTCACTTTGTGTTTGTGATTTTCAAATATTACCTCATATTACTTACGTTTTTTTGGTTGATAGTGATGATATATATATATGATAAGTTAACTTGCGTAATTCAATACGGATTCGTTGATATTCTATTTTCGATAACGGATCATTACAGTCAAATACTGACAACCTGAAATGATGCTAAAGAAAAGTCTATGTGTATTATTTACGAGAGACATATTTTTTCTAGAATTAAATTGCCCATAATTATGGATGTTTTATATACACAAGTCCATATCATACACGAATAAGTAAGTTTTCTGTACATTGATCAATCGGAAGGGGCACTCATTGGGATTGTTCACTTGCCAATATATTAGCAAATATCGAGACGGGGCACTTATTATGTCAAATGTATATATTTCTTGTATATTGTGTGTTGCTTGATAGGAATGTGGCTGAGCTGAGCTGAGCTGCAACATCTACTTATGGGAATTATAAGTGATGAAAACAGATTTGATCAGTATCATGAAATGGACCTTTCCCAGCCAGTGCCTAACTTATTGCTTTTGGATCAAGTTGAAATGAGCAACACATGAGCAAGGGATGAAATAATTATCAGCAATTGTATGGACAGGTATTTGCCATATTTTGCAGCTGATTTGACACTCTGTATGATCATTGTCACTTTCAACATTGAATTGTATAATTAAAATCCTCGAAGAATAATCAGAATCAAATAAGATATACGTAAATATATTTGAAAACCAGTGTCTATTGATACCATGCCTTCATACTTAAACTCCTGTAAAGTTCCAATTCATTTCTATTCAATTTATTTTCATTGCTGTGTCACAGGGGCCTATAGTGTTCTGAATAGAAAAGGTCAATGGAAACACATATTTTTTCATATGATATTTGTATGTGAGCAGAGCATAACGTAGAGTGTGAGTGAATGCCTAGCCCCTTAGCAACAAACATTCCCTGCACCCTTGCTACGGACCAGCGTCAAGTACCGTCACAAACACACAGCGTATATTACAGCTGACATTGATTTCGCTATGTACGACATAGCAGCTGATTGTGGGTGCTTGTATATCATACTCTAGAATGAACCGACAGAACAAATGGCACAATGACTTGGGGAAAGGGAAGGTAGGCTACACCTAGCTGTATGTACTTATGCTGTTGACAGTGAATATGGTAGTGCTACCACTGTGTTAGTATGGAGACTGTTCTGGTTTCCAGGAACTCTCATAGATGTCGTAATTCTTAAAATGATATTTATTCAACTTATGTTTTGACAACCACCAGCTGGTGTAATTCATGGATACCAGTATCGTGTACACTTCAGTGAACCTTCAGTGTCTGCATGTAAGTAGGACGAGATGTCATTGTTCTAGATTTGGATTTGCTGTAGCAATGAATTCAAGTTTCAATTAGATATCCACATTTGATGTTAATTAACCTTCTTTTTCTCATTGTATTGATGTTTCATAGAAACTTAGTCACTTACGTTTGATGTCAGTTCAACAAATATACATTGGATCTCTGTATTGTTAATGATATCTTTTTTATCAGGTTTTGCCTGAAGATCTGATGAAATCCTATTTGGTGTTGTTTACACTACGAAAGCCAAGCATGACCTGTCTTTTGAAGTTTGGAATATGTTTTGTTATGAAGGAAACACTGTATGCTGAACTGGGGGGAAAACATTTCTTGCTCAGTAATCAAAAATGTTTGGGTAGCTTTTTCCAGTAAATCTATTAATTGATAGCTTTATAGCGTGGTGTAGCCTATTAAGGGTTTAGTCATCACATTGTAAACCTGGGCTGCATGCCCACATTGATTTAGTTTTTGTTTTTCATTAATGATCTTGTTCATGAACTTTAGGAAAAAAATTCAAATGGTAACACCAGATGCATTTTTGTGTAAAATGGGTTTTTCGGGTTAAACATTAAAAAAGTAAAATATAATTGTGTTTCAAAATGGATGAATTGTTAACCATTTGAGAAATGGCTTTTTTAAGGGAAATATTCAAGAGTGTTTTCACTGTAAAAGTTCAGGATAGTGTTTTTTTTTATTATTCATTGATTGTTCATGTTCATTTCAATGAAATAATCATGATATTACTTGGGCAAAAAACAGTGACATTGGTGATATCTGCAATTCCATTGTTACTAAGTGATAAGGGATAATAGCTCTCAATGACACTTGGCCAAACACTCATTATTATGATTCAGTATTTTTTGTGTCAAATCAATGTAATTTGATAAATAGTGCGCAAATTAATATGATTGATCAATCAGAAGACCTCCATGATTCTATGGCTTCAAGGATGAATATATCAAATAACTAGAAGAAGTGGTATTTCCAGCTCCTAGTGATTTTTTCAGTCGTAACATCTCTACCAATTATATTACAACATCTTCACAAATGTTCTTGATGTTGCAGGACCAGTGGGTGAGGAAAAGCCTTCCCCAAGTCAGGACAACACCAGAGACCCAAGAGAAACCTTACCTAGACTCGAGTCCACCAGCACCTGCACACAAAGTGGGGACAGCCTGAAGGCACAGGATCTCAGTCCTACTACACAGCTGGTGAACGCTGCTATCCTTGAGAGTCTGTATGAGCTTCAACTAGCTGGGGAGATCTCTCTGTATTCCTCAGACTCCGATCTGAACAGATCCCAGCTCGAACCTATCCTTGAGGAGGAAGGGTCTGTGATCAGTGAGGATAATCTTGACAAGGAACGGAGACAGAGTGTGTTGGATGAGGGTATAGCTCCTCCAGTAGCTGAACCTTCAGAGACTCCGAGGACAACACAGATTGTGAATTCTGAGGAGTGTGTAGATAAGTACCAGAACCACATAGAAAAGGATAGTGTTTCAGGTTCTGAAGCAACAAGGGAAGATCTTGGTGGTAAGAATCCTGAGGATACTGTACAGGATTCAGGACAAGCTTCAGGTGATCACAAGGAGGAAGATTTGGAAGTGAGTGAGAAGACTGAGAGTGGATTAGGCAGATCAGTTGAGACAAGTGAACAACTTGAGACTGCCACACCAGACCCAGACTCAGAAGCTACTCAGCCAAGTCAGGATCTTGAATCAGAAGCTGCTGAGGTGGATAAAAGTGGTGGAGATAATTCTGATGAATGCTGTCAGGCCGTGAAAAGTGACACACTCGGGAAAAGTGAAAGAGTTGGCGATAGTCCTGGACCAAGAGCAGAATTACCACGATCCGTTGAAGGCAGCTTCCGGGAGGGAACTGAAACAAGTGATGTTGTGAATGATAATCTACGAAGTGTAGAAAAGTTACCTGAGCACAATTCCAAGGATACTGCGAAAGAGAAGGAGGATTTTCCAGATGGAAAGGACAATGTGACAGGTGTTGAGACTGAATCTAAGGAGACTACACAAGCAGACAGCAAGAAGCCCCCACCCAACACCATGGGGTCCGGAGCGTCCAAGGATGGGGAGTTTGTGGAGGATGGACAAGATCGCCAGTATGCCCAGAGGTCAATGGCTCCCATTTCAGGGATGTCACCTTCAGGGAGCCAGATCACTCAGAGGTCAGGGTCACCGCTGAAGAGGAAAGGGTCGTCCCTCAGTAGGCACCTGTCAAAATCGCAGCTCGGAATATCAGGGCTCCCTCCATCAGTCTCCCACTTTAGCTCTTCAGTATCAAAGTTTATAGGTGAGTGATGATAGTTTGTCGTTTTATAACATGAAGGCATGAACATTCTTTTGTGATATATCAGCAGAATTTCTGCAAGTTAAAAACTGTAGATTTGAATATTCATTGTTTTTAAATCTGGATACCAGTTTTCGGTCAAATGAATATAAATTGAAGAATTGTATAGAATTGATCAGAGGTGTACAAGGGTTGATTGATAAGTTCTGAGCCTCATGTAGAAGGAATTGTGTAATAGTGATATGTTTCGGCCATTACATGATGCCCTAGAGGTATATGTATATAATATCCACAAAAACTTGAGTCAATTGAACAGAACAAAAATAGAAACTTGATCTGAAAGTAACAATCACAATGGAAACAATATACAGAAATGTAGGTTAATGCTGACAAGTGCCTTAAGCTCTGCTGACGTAGCTGATCAACATACTAGGTGAGCTGAAGTGCAATGCTATTCATTTTGTTCTGTCAGTTTTGTGATGCCAATATCCTGCAGTTTCAAAATATAAGGTTGAAGATGATAATTTTGTCCCCAAGGTAAATTGAAAACTGATTCTTGTTATTTCTTGATTCAGGCAAGTTAGTATTGGTCTTTGTTGACCTTAAAATAAGGACAATTGAAAAGAAATAACTGAAAAAGCTCTACACTTTTATTTGCCAAAGGCTAAGTTACGTGTTTCACCACAAGCAAATACACAGAGCAACAACGTATTCAGTCAACACTTTTATGAACAAAGGGAATAATCTGAGAAAAAATTTTTTATTTGTATTTACCCACCAGCCAACCAGAATTAGCCACACAAAACCAAGAAATTAAGACCTATTACCTGGTGGAAATACAATTTTATGCAGTAGCAACTGAAGATAAAAATATTCTGTTCAAATTCAGACTCTTGGTATTCTTTTGTTGTGTTCATGAATATATACATATATCACTGGAGTTATGACAATGATAACTTGAGGTCATAGTTCGAACAGTTATTCATTCATTCAAGTATTAGACCCTGTACATATGGTAACCAAGCCATGTAACCATGTCAATATTATGATCAACATGTAGTAATGATAATTAATTAGAACTCATATAACACTCCATGGTGCAGGTATAATCAATAAATCGCATGCTGTTGTGCCATACCTCTATCTCACAATAATCCTCAGATCTGAGATACAGGCTGCTCACAGGGCTAGCAACAAGGATGCTATTGGCAGTTATTCCAACTAATAATGATCTTTGTTGATGTTATCCATAAAAAGAGTTGTAAAAGTTTTATGAATGACCCCTGGTGGGTTTATGACCATTTATTGATATTGATCAATTTGCTGGCCATGTTGAGTGTTTGGATTGCTGTGATAGTCAAAGTGGATAGAGAACATTAAGAGAGTTCTCTGGTGATGCCATGTTGTGTGATGACATTCAATGTTTTTTGTTTTATTAAATTTATATCTAAAATTTAACATATCAGGATATGTGTCTGATTGTAATATAGAATTTTGACTATTCATTGATGACTATTCATTGTTGCTAGGTGTGGTTGGTTACATACAAAATATGATTCTCTGACTATTATCTCGTACAAATCATTATAACAATCCACACACCAACCATGTATACTCCTTTGAGAAATATGTCTGAAAGATGACATTTTTACACATTCTGTTTTTTGTTCTATTTTTGATGATATGTATACATGTTATCAACAACTTGGGGGAAAAAATGATGAATCCAATATGGAAATGTGTTCATTACAAGGATGTAGAATATGTTTTGAATTCCAATTATCATCCCTTATTTGTATTTCCCCCTGTCTTTGCTGGTCGTAGGCTCTGGTGAGTAGATCACATCACAAATTATATAACACAAAGTGCATGCTGTATTGGAACTGACAACAGGTGGAATAGACGAAGATGCTTTCTAGTTACACTGGAGTTGCTGCTGTGCAGATAGCACCTAAAATACATGTTTCTTCTGACATATTAACCTGCACAGCATTTCGCGTGTTGCATAATTTCCACTATTTTGTTTCCATGGTTACTGTTCAAAAATCTCAAATGTGTTTCCATTGACATTAACCTGCACAGCACATATTTGCATTGCACAATTTCCACTATTTTGTTTCCATGGTTACTGTTCAATAATCTCTGGTGTATGTCAACAAACTACCAACTGCTGTAGTGTAGGAATGTTTAGGTAATCCAGTGTTTCAGATGGATTTATTTTCTAGGACATTGAGTGATTGTACTGAAAAATGTCGTGATGATATCTTTCAAATTTGGTAGATGAACAGAAGAATGTCATAAAAAGTTAATGCATCAAAAGTTAATACAATCATGACAATGTCCTAATACTATTTTCTATAGCAAAGTCATTGATGAAATCTGATACATTTTGGTCTTTACCTAATGTTCTTATTCAAAATATTTGGCGGGGGGGGGGAAGATGAAATCATGGTTCTTAAACACTTATAAAACTTTGGGCTTTTTGACAGAAGTGTGGAAATTGGTTCAAGTTGCTTAAGAAAAGTATTTTGGTGTGACTCATAATGCTGGGCAGTAATCATGTTTATTTGAGTCAAGTAGATTCATTTAAAAAATTATTAAAACATTTTGACATGAGAATTATCAGTGATTATGTGAACACCACATTTGGTTGAATAATGAAAGTAACACTCAAACTGTAGTGTATCCTGATGACAGTTGCAACAATGTAATTTATCCTGATCACAGTGGCAACGATGTTGTTTATCCTGATCACAGTTGCAACAATGTAGTGTATCCTGATGACAGTTGCAACAATGTAATTTATCCTGATCACAGTGGCAACAATGTAATTTATCCTGATCACAGTGGCAACAATGTTGTTTATCCTGATCACAGTTGCAACAATGTAGTTTATCCTGATCACAGTTGCAACAATGTTGTTTATCCTGATCACAGTTGCAACAATGTAGTGTATCCTGATGACAGTTGCAACAATGTAATTTATCCTGATCACAGTTGCAACAATGTAGTTTATCCTGATCACAGTTGCAACAATGTAGTGTATCCTGATGACAGTTGCAACAATGTAATTTATCCTGATCACAGTGGCAACAATGTTGTTTATCCTGATCACAGTTGCAACAATGTAGTTTATCCTGATCACAGTTGCAACAATGTAGTGTATCCTGATCACAGTTGCAACAATGTAATTTATCCTGATCACAGTGGCAACAATGTAATTTATCCTGATCACAGTGGCAACAATGTTGTTTATCCTGATCACAGTTGCAACAATGTAGTTTATCCTGATCACAGTTGCAACAATGTTGTTCAGAGCTCCAGATAAGCTTTTGGTGTTGTGGGTATTTTACCCATGCATTTTAAAATCACTGCGTATCACCTATTCTATCTGGGTATTCAAATTTCTGTTACCACTAGTTTTTACACATGTGGGTATTTAAGTTAAATATTTGAAAATACTATTCATCTAGTCCCTGCAAACTGGTGTTGTGTGGGTTCGAGAGCTTTATAGGAGTCAAAAATACCACGATACTTCCACAAGAAAGTGTGATGGCAAATGATCATGATGTAACTGTCATCGGGGAGTTTGGCAAGGTTGACGGAATGCCCGTTTATAATTTCAAAATAAGTTGCTGATTTGCCAATCGAATACGCAGGGTTACTTCACAATATTTTGAATATACGCACAAGTTTTATTTTTGTAGCATATCTGTAATGTTCGTTGCGTATTTGATACGCTTGGATATTATTTTACTGCTTATTTCTGCATTTCTGATGCGTATTTTACGCAGATACGCAGCTTATCTGGATCTCTGGTTGTTTATCCAGATGACAGTTGCAACAATGTAATTTAGCCTGGTCACAGTTGCAACAATGTAGTTTATCCAGATGACAGTTGCAACAATGTTGTTTATCCTGATGACAGTTGCAACAATGTAGTTTATCCTGATCAGAGTTGCAGCAGTGTGGGTTGGTCAGGCTCGCTGACTTGGTTGATGCATGTCGTCATATCCGAATTGCGTGGATTGATGCTCATGATGTAAATCACTGGATTGTCTGGTCTAGACTCGATTATTTACAGACCGCCATCATATTAGCTGGCATATTGCTGAGTGCGGTGTAAAACAACAAATAACATCACCTGCAGCAGTGTATTTTAGCCTGATCATAGTTGCAACAATGTACTTGTCCTGATCACAGGTGCAACAATGTAGTTTAGCCTGATCATAGTTGGAACAATGTAGTTTAGCCTGATCACAGTTGCAACAATGTAGTTTAGCCTGATCATAGTTGGAACAATGTAGTTTAGCCTGATCACAGTTGCAACAATGTAGTTTAGCCTGATCATAGTTGGAACAATGTAGTTTAGCCTGATCATAGTTGGAACAATGTACTTGTCCTGATCATAGTTGCAACAATGTAGTTTATCCTAATGACAGTTGCCACAATGTAGTTTAGCCTGATCATAGTTGCAACAATGTACTCGTCCTGATCACAGTTGCAACAATGTAGTTTAGCCTGATCACAGTTGCAACAATGTAGTTTAGCCTGATCACAGTTGCTGCAGTGTAGTTATATGTAATCCAGATAACAGATGCAACTTTGTTGTTATGATCCAGATTACAGGTGCAACTTCTTGTTATGATCCAGATTACCGGTGCATTTTTCTTGTTATAATCCAGATCACAGGTGCAACTTGCTTGTTATGATCCAGATCACAGGTGCAACTATCTGTACAAGATTCAACAATCTAGTCATTATCCTGTAAACATTTTCTTTTCTCAGATGGATATGAAGAGGCCATTGTCAGAATAACAAAAGTTGGATTTAGTCTGCCAGAGATTACAATAATGGAAGGCCAAGTAAGTATATGATCAAACATATGTGACAATAATACTGCTGCTGACCTGGGTGAACAAAAGTATGTGACAATAATACTGCTGCTGACCGGGGTGATCAAACGTATCTGACAATAATACTGCGGCTGACCTGGGTGATCAAAAGTATCTGACAATAATACTGCTGCTGACCTGGGTGATCAAACGTATCTAACAATAATACTGCTGGGTGATCAAACGTATCTAACCATAATACTGCTGCTGACATGGGTGATCAAACATATCTAACAATAATACTGCTGCTGACCTGGGTGATCAAAAGTATGTGACAATAATACTGCGGCTGACCTGGGTGATCAAACGTATCTAACAATAATACTGCTGCTGACCTGGGTGATCAAACATATCTAACAATAATACTGCCACTGACCTGGGTGAATGTGCACCCATAGTAGAGATTAGCTGAGGCCCCTGGAAGAAGTCAAAGTTATACCAGACACCGGCAAGAACTTAACAAGATGTTTGCCTCCAGACTACAGTGGGTAACAGTACATTGGTACCAATCTACATGTACTCTATGTGCCCAACATGTCAATATTCAGTATCACAATGAAGACTCAAGCTCAGTACCCTACATGGGTACCATGTGAAGTTGATTTCTGGTTGGAATGTATGGTGGGAACATTGCTACAAGCAGTGTAAGACCCAACTCATCTTCTCCAACTAATCATCTTTTTGTCATTAACCGCATAGTGAAGCTGAACATCACTATGATTTGGACAAACTATGTACTGTTATACAGTCCCAGGCAAATTCAGCAATCGTGCAAAGATTTGCAGAAAATGTGACTGACCGAGAAACATTGCATAAAAACTGGGGAATTTGCCTTTTTGTATGACTGAATACACTATTTTTCAGTATTTTCAGGCTTTTCTATCAAATTTTGCAGACGAATGATGATCAGATATTTAACATGTGATTCAAACACACACAAAATGAGAAATAAATCATTTTCGCTCGCTGACTTGGTTGATGCATGTCATCGATCCCATTTGCATAGATCGATGCTCATGATATCAATCACTGGATTGTCTGGTCCGGACTCAATTTTTTTTTGACTGCCGTCATATAGCTGGAATATTGCTGAGTGCTGCGTTAAACAACAAACAAACAATACTTTTATACATTCATGTGGTATTATGACTACAATAAGTTGACATGTTCAACCAAACATGAAATGTCTAAATTCAAGAGATTAAAAACTGTAAGGAATTCAATTAGTTTGTATTAATTTTTGAGGGGGAAATGGTTGTTTTAACATCTGACTTTTCCACATAATTTTTATGATTTTAATGCAGAATTCATCTGGGACTGTTCATTAATAATCAGTATGATCCTGATCAGATGTCTCTAGTTTCAGTTCTGTATCTGACGCAACTTGCCTTCCATTTTCGTTTGCACCTACTTAAGTATCACAACATAATGTTTAAATGAGCATTGTCTGCAGACAGGATGTTGGCGTTGTAAAGTGAATAGTGTTGATAACAGTGTGGGATGTACATGTGTTATCAATAATGTCTTACACTATTCCTGCATGGCATCAATGGCTGCCTGCTGCCACACACAGCACACTGATTGCTGTGGCCTGTGGACATTGTGGCAGGTATTGTTACCTGAAATAGCAGTTTCCAGAGCTGGAACCATCACCTTGTTGACAGAGTGGCAGGTATTGTTACCTGAAATAGCAGTTTCCAGAGCTGGAACCATCACCTTGTTGACAGAGTGGCAGGTATTGTTCCCGGAAATGAACCATCACCACCTGGAAAGTCTGGTGGGCAGATTACCCTGGCCACCACACATTGATTACATGTATTAGCTCAGTAATTGACAACCAAATGCATACATTCACAGGGGGGGGTAGGAAAAGATTTCCTTACACAGGTATATGATGACAGAGATAAAATACAGTCCAAACGTCATGGCTTTATGAAAATTGCAAGTGAGCTGTTTTCATCTTGGGAAAATCAATAGATCAAGTGTGCCTATACAGAGCTCCTCAGAACTTGATTAGATATTCAAGATAGTTGAAGATACTAAGCAATTGTTTTGAAAAAAAATAATTCTAGTTTTCTTTAATCTGTGTTAAAGGCTCAGTTGTCTCACAATTCGCTGTGCAGAATTGAAACTTATGATTGATGGGTGGAATCCGGGCTTCCCTGACCATGTTTCCAAGTTTGTCAGTACCATACCCGTGATGGCGGGTTTTACCAAAGTAGTAGACGTCTGTGACCCACATCAGGCTGACACATCATGATGCAGCTGAAATACTGCTCAAAGCAGCAGACGTCAGACGCAACTCAGTGTTAGAATATAAGAGTGCTTGTCAAGGGGTCTTTGTTAAAAAGACCCTAGTGTTAAAAGGTCGAAAACTATTTTAATAATAAACTTCTCAGGTTCCCCCTGATTGTTTCTAGGTTTGTCAGCACCATATCCGTGCTCGTGGGTTTCTCCAAGATGGTAAATATCCCAGCACTGCATCATGTCGGGTTTTCCTCCCACATCAAGCTGACTCCCCATGATATTACTGCAATACTGTTCAAGCGTTGTTGAACCCAACTCAATCGCTCACTTTTGTGAACTCATGAATATTGTATAATTCCAGCCGGTTTTCATGACTTATAGGACTGTCCTGGATATTAATATATCGTGAGCCAATATGTGTGCTGGGGCCCTACACAGAGACTCATATTCACATAGTTTCAAGGCAGTTCCACCACAAGCCGCAGCTAAGCTGCTTACTGAATGAAAGGCCCTGAAGGCGGCATGATTAAGCTCTACTTTGATACGGCAAACTTGCCAATAAGCAGGATTATTCTCGGATAAACTGTATTTGTTTGCATACTCATGTTTATGTCTGAATCAACTGAACCACACAGGCAGACATTGGTTGTGTGGCGATTTAGTTGAGCTGTCAAATTTCAATCAAAATGAGTGTGAGATATAGCTGCTTTGTTATTGGGAAGAAATGGGAAAATAGGATGTTGATATGAAACTTTTTCAATAATACACATGATATATGTATATATATTAGCAGTGTTAATGTGGTCCTGTGAACCATGAGGCTTGCTGCTGTAACCTGTGACTAGGAACCCCCAGATCTTTTATGGTTTACATCAGGGTTTAACAAATACAATTGACTGTGTCACTGAAATTCGATCAGCCATACAAATATACTTTTCCTAATGATAAGTATGATCATAGGCAAAATATAAAATTTGAAACTTTATCTTCATCGTCATGGTCAAACAGTTTGCAATGCCATGATGACAGAATGTCTTTGACTTTTACAATTTAAATGGATGAGTATGGTTGTACGCCACTTTTAGCAATATTCCAGCAATATCATGGCGGGGGACTTCAGACATTGTACCCATGTGGGGAAACAAAACCTGGATCTTTGGCATGAGGAGCAAATGCTTTAAACACTAGGCTACCCAACTGCCTCTTTTTTAACAATTTAAAACTAGATAAATTACGAGGTATGTGGCAAGTCAAATACATAAGAAAGAAAATGCAGACAGATGCCAGTAATCTTTGTGTTGGATGATGTTAGCCTACAACTGTTCCCTATCATCTGTATGTACAACACACAACTCATTGTCTCCTTAGTTCCTCTAGGGGGCATGGGTGGCTTCGTCCTCTAAGGTGCTGAAAGTTGCTGTGCAGAGTAACATCCCCTTAGGGGTGCCAGAAACCTGTCATCATGGGTTCAAATCCCAGTTAGGGGCGGTCGGGTAGCCTAGTGGTTAAAGTGTTCGCTCGTCATGCCGAACATCCGGATTCGATTACCGACATGGGTACAATGTGTGAAGCCCATTTCTGGTGTCCCCCGTCGTGATATTGCTGGAAAAAGCGTCGTAAAACCATACTCACTCAACTCCCAGTTTGCCCTGATTATGTTTCTAGGTTTGTCCGAACCAAATCTGAAGTACATTTCAAAACCATATTAAACCAAACTCACTCACTCACTCACTCACTCACTTACTTCCATCAGCAAGTGTATAAATTCCATGAAATAATGCTTGCACAAGGTGTTGAAAATAAGAAAAAAATTGCAAGTAAATAGTTATTTGTTGGGGACTGGAATGATCTGTTGTCTTGCTAATAATGATAAATAATGACATGTCCAAGTTTCACAACCCTTGATCTCAATCACAGAGGATGTGATACACATGAACATGATGGACAGGTCAATTCCTGTCTCTTTGCCAGACAGTGGTCACATTGCATATCCTGGTATGATATATAGGAAAGACTTGTGTTCCTGCGTTTACAGTGCCTGTGTTTTCTGTTTCCAGTCAATCACATTTGTGTGGGAAGAAAGGGTATCCATGATACAGGTAGGTCAATACTGAACTGTCGATATCCCCTATCAAGTCAGTCTTCAAAGGATGCTAACCAGCCTTTGATAGGAATATTGGCTAAACTATATGTGGACAGTCTCTAACAAAACTGAGTACTGCCCTACTTAATACTTACTGCCCCAATAATATTTGATTAATATATATGATATAAACATTGAATTTGCTTTATCTGAATATACAACAGAAGGCCAAACTGTTATTATTGAATGGTTGGACTTTTTGCTAACCATTTAGCTTGGATTACCGTAGTAGAAATATAAAAAAATATGAGTAATGGGAAAAAATCAATGCTGGTTCTGTTGAAGGTCCAGGATTTTTTCTCCTAATAAGAAGTTGCATTGCCTAGAGACTACTTTTAAAGGTTTATTTTTTTTAAATTTTGCTTTGGCTCCGATCGGTCAAATCTGAATATATTTTTTATTCACATATTTTACATGTGACATAAAGTCTAAATGTTGATACAATATGATCAACCTGTATAGTATGTATCTATGTGGTATTTAAGAAATAAATGACTTGTGGTCGTTGTTTATTGTACAATCAAACACTGCAAGGAGAATAAAAGCAGGGTGCAGCTATGTTTTCCCCTCATGGTTTATTCTCCCTGCAGTGTTTTATTGAATGATAAACAATGACCATGATTCATTTATTTCTTACATGAGATATCAACATTTTGTACAGCCTCATTAAAATGTTAATAATATGTACAAACGTTTACAAAATATTTACCCGTATTTAAATTATGATGACTCCCTGAATACAAACCAATCTCAACAGTGTTGGTCAAGTCTATTTTTATCAGGGGGTTACGTTTCGTATTTCCCAGATATTCTCACAATTTTTACGTAGACTATCTGTACCTTTTCTTCCAATACATATCTCTCCCACATTCTCCCACGTTCGACCATTGTGTTCATCTGCGTTGGCCAGCTATGTCTATGGGGAACAAGTCACTTCCCTCACAAAAATAGTGGTGTCCAATTTACGACGTCATCACGTTGCGAGAGCATGTTCGAATCTTCAGAAATGATGTCATGACAGAACAATATTTTATCATGAAATAAACCATGCTTCATTCTTTATTATTCTTTGCGATTTATTGCGTAGCTATCTTATGTGCATATTGTATATGTCTCTATGTTGTATGTCCATACCTGCAGGTAATATATGACGGAGAGAAGCTGCGCCCTGTGATTGGTGGGTATCAGGCCAGTCCCGATGAAACAGACGGACAGTACGAGCTACAGTTCAACCTGGAGGGAGAGTACAAGTTTGCCTTGTGAGTCCAGCTGTAGATTCAAACATATTGTCGACAATCTCATTAAAATCCCATCTTTTACTTTGATACAATGTTTCTGTGTGAGAACCTGAGGTCACCTCATTTGCAGGTATTAGCCTATAATTTAATGAGATTGTGATGGAGAAGAATGTTTGTTGCAGGGATAGTTACACATTCTGTCCATGTGTAGGTGTCTTCCTATGCAGAGGTGAATTGGTATTTGGTATTATGAAAATATAAAGGTTCTAGTTCTGCGGACTTCCTGTTTATAACATGAGCAAATTTGAAATGTATGCCTGTAGAAAGTAGTGGAGTGTATGAGGACAAAGCTGATTGAGAAGTAATGTGATTTTGGAATTCCTGCAGTCAGCAAGGATCTTAGTTCATGTAAAGTGTTCTGTTTACTTTTAAGGCAGAAGGATTGCTAATGGAGCACATTTATGTGTCATTTATCCAGGAATGGAGTTCGCTGTACCCCTCTGGCTGTGCTCGTCCGACGGCGGATGGACCTTCAGGCAGTTGTCACAGATGAAGGGTTTTCCCCAGACATCATTGAAATCTTCCAGGGCCATACGGTGAAGTGGTCGTGGAAGCAGTGTGCCGTCCCCCACACCATCAAAGAAGTCATCCTCTGCATGGACAGAGGCTCCTTCAGGAAACAGCCCACAAATGCCAGGTTGGTCATGAGTGCTGAAACACACCTCACGGGTAGTTAGACCCATTAGACAAAGCACCTTCAGGAAACAGCCCACAAACGCCAGATTGGTCATGAGTGCTGAAACACACTCCAGGGGTAGGTAGACCCATTAGACAAAGCACCTTCAGGAAACAGCCCACAAACGCCAGGTTGGTCATGAGTGCTGAAACACACCTCACGGGTAGTTAGACCCATTAGACAAAGCACCTTCAGGAAACAGCCCACAAACGCCAGGTTGGTCATGAGTGCTGAAACACACCTCACGGGTAGTTAGACCCATTAGACAAAGCACCTTCAGGAAACAGCCCACAAACGCCAGATTGGTCATGAGTGCTGAAACACACTCCAGGGGTAGTTAGACCCATTAGACAAGGCTCCTACTAGAAACAGCCCACAAACGTCAGGTTGGTCATGAGTGCTGAAACACACCTCAGGGAAGACCCATTAGACAAGGCTCCTTCTGGAAACAGCCCACAAACGTCAGGTTGGTCATGAGTGCTGAAACACACCTCAGGGTAGACCCATTAGACAAGGCTTACTCTGGAAATGGCCCACAAATGCCAGGTTGGTCATGAGTGCTGAAACACACCTCAGGGTAGACCCATTAGACAAGGCTTACTCTGGAAGCAGCCCACAAACGTCAGGTTGGTCATGAGTGCTGAAACACACCTCAGGGTAGACCCATTAGACAAGGCTTACTCTGGAAATGGCCCACAAACGTCAGGTTGGTCATGAGTGCTGAAACACACCTCAGGGTAGACCCATTAGACAAGGCTTACTCTGGAAGCAGCCCACAAACGTCAGGTTGGTCATGAGTGCTGAAACACACCTCAGGGTAGACCCATTAGACAAGGCTTACTCTGGAAACTACCCACAAACGTCAGGTTGGTCATGAGTGCTGAAACACACCTCAGGGAAGACCCATTAGACCAGGAACCTTGTCATCAACCATGGAGCCATAGGCAGATACTAGACCTGGTCTTAGCTGTTTCTGGGTAGGTCAACCATGGCATCAATGTTGTGTTTGGATAGATCAGACATAGGGCTCTGTTTACTGGTGTTTAAGCTAGGTACAGGCAAAGAGTTCTGTAGGTCGGACTTGGATTCCTCAACTCCATTAGGTATAACAGCTGAAAATATTGTGTATAACCAGTAGGTTGTATTCTCTGTTTCAGTGTGGTGGCCACAGTGTCAGGAAGCTACAGACATACCTTCCAGTGAGTACACATTCATGGCACTAACTACCGACGGTGTCTTACAGGGTCACTATTGTATCAACAGATAACAGTCTTTGACAATATCTTGAATATATGGTCCTCTTCTGTTGTTTTAGTATCCTATTTGAAGGTGCACTTGATATGAATTTAGAACTCCGTTGGAACTCTGCATTTGTTGGAGTTCATAATTTAAACCCTACACGCTTGTTGTGATTGTGTTTGTCTGTCTGTTCCAGACGCCCAGGCCTGTACTACTTCCAGACAGAGAGCATAGAACTGGGGCGGACACACCTGTGTGTGGTGCAGGTCCGAGAGGCACCGAGGTAAGTGGGAGCAAGAGAGGCTACAAATTCAATTGCTGTGAACTTGACCTTGCTATTTAGCATGGAATATAGGAACAGTGTTTGAAGCAACACAAACATTCACAAAATTAATATGTATTCATGGTGAAAATTTATCTATTTGTTATAGTGCCTGGCAACATTGCTTTTGGAAAACTAGACGTCCCATGCTTTCCCGTGATACCAAATACATCTTGCTATACCTCTGGTTGACCTGTTTCCAATTTGGACACCAGAAACCACTGGTCTATTTGATGGTCATTTGTGTTAATCGCTAAATTTCCTCCTAATGTTGATCATGTTTGGGCTAGGACCAGTTAGCTGCCTCCTTCAGGCTTGTTTTCCCCATACAACCTAGCTGACACAGTGCTGTTAGGTCATGTGTCCATTGCTTGCCTACAATCACCCTATTGTTTCAGAGAGCACAAGATCGAGATCCTGGACCGCTCCTTCCAGCCCATGATCCTGCTGATAGAGGAGGGAGACAGGGTCTGGTTCTACTGGGACAAACACAAGGTAGCACAACAACTCTCTGAAATGCTTTCAAGTACACATACATGAAATGGTTTGAAAAGATTTTCTGGAAAGATATATGGTTTCTTGTTTATGTGCATCTGTGGGTTCCTAGCATAGTAATGGGATCCAAACATCTGGCTGACATAAGCTGATCCTCCAACTGCTGCCTGGTATTGCTGTGCCAGGCCTGTCCTGTGCTACCTTCCTTACAACAGCTCCAATATTGATGAGCACATTGTCAAAATCTCTCTCACCAGCTGGTTAAGTATTTTATGGCACTTCAGTAAATATTCTCCTCCTGCTGTGTCAGATATTGGACTGGGTTGATCTGTGTGTACATGTAATTGAATGTATTTCCCAGTGTAAGAAGCATCACAGTATCTACCAAGTGGAAGCGCCTTCCATTGACCTCGATGAAGATGAACCTTACATTGTGAGTAAAAATGTCCTCCTTTGTCTGATGTGCAGGCGTAGATGAACTTATATTGTTTTTGTCGCTTTTCAAAGAGATCAATCTTCTACATGCAAATTTGAAATTGACATTGAAAAGTTCTTTCCTAAACTTTGAGAATGAGTTGGTGAGTAAATTACATGAGACATGTTCGTATGGACAAAAGTTTGCATTGTCCACTGTATGTTTCTCAATCAGCCTATCAAGGACGGGTTCCGGTGGACCGTTCCCAGCAAACAAGGAATGTTGTCACACGAGTTCCACAAGACGGGGGTGTACTATTTCTCCGACCAGAACTTTGAGGAGGCAGCAGAGTACCTGGGCACCATCATCGTCAAGCCCCGGCCCAAGGAACATCACATAGAACTCAAGGAAAAGGGCTTTTCACCTGGTGAGCACTAATGCTGGTATTAACTTAAAGTATTTTATTTTCTGTGAAAATGTTCTTCATGTTGATGGAGGTCATTTTCTCGCATCTGATTTAGTACCAAGTCTTGTTATTTTCAAATTGAACTTTTTTGTTTCTTGTGGTCCTTGCTACTAACGATGCTGTGAGGAATCGGCTGTGCTGGATCATGTGCCTGTTACTGTGTGCTTCCAGATCTGCTGTTTGCCAACACTGGAGACAGGATATGGTGGACATGGGATGGAGAGGGAATCGTCAACGTGAACGAAACTCTTCTGGTGCTGGAGGAAGATAAGTGTCTTAACCCCATCGCTCGGCGCCCATCAGCGGAAACTGAAGGTAGACATGTCATAACTTGACTGTAACTGCTACATCACTGTGTTCTCAAACTTGCTGATCGTGCAAGAACATGATTTATGATATTTCAAGTAATATTCCTGTGATATTATTTAATTAGAATTACTTGAAGATAAAAAACTGGTTGAAACATCTAGTCTGTGTTGATTATTAGTTTAAGAATTTATTTAACAAATTTTACACCTTTCCTGTTATAATGTCCTATTTTACAACATCCAATGTATTACAGCCTACAGTGCAGAAATGTACATAGATCTGGATGAGGCGTCAATGAAGCTCCTGACACGTGTTGGTCATGCAACGTATCACTTCACAACAATTGGCGTGTACAACTTCCGCGTGGCGGACACCGGCGACAGTTTCACCACCTGCTCTGTTGTGGTCAATCCAGGCTCCCGGGTAAGCTCAAACAGTGATTCTGTGTAGGGACAAGATTCAGGAAGTATTTCTGTAGTTTTGAGGTGACAGTCAGCTTTGTAAAAAACTGTTAATGCTGACGTATGTACTGGAGGCACGATCAGTTGAAAACTAAAATGCTGATGCCCAATAAAAGCAGTCTTAGATTAGTGAATCAGTCAAGTAGGTCCCAGTGCCTGTTTTGCTGTTGTAGAACCACACAGTACATCTGACAGACAACGGGTTTGAGCCAAAGGTGATCACGATCCGGCCTAACGACCGAGTGTGGTGGGTGTGGCAGAGTGGCAAGAAACAGCATAACATTATACAGGTACGTCTGAGGTAGATCGATGCTCATGATATCAATCACTGGATTGTCTGGTCCAAACTTGATTATTTACATGCTGCCGTCATATGGTTTGAATTTTGCTGAGTGCAGCGTTAAACAACAAACAAACAAAAATAGACCCAGTATGACATACAGGTATGTCTCAAGTAGCTCATTTAGATATATACTGTTATACGAGTTCATATGCACACCTGAGATAACGAGTTTTCTCCCTCCCCAACAGGTATCCCACCAAGGCGTACCTATCACCAATGGTTTCTGTAGTGGTCAGACGCGAGACAGTCCGTCAGCGTTCACCCACCAGTTCATCATGCCAGGCGTCTTCTACTTCATCAGTAAAAACCTGCCTAAAGTGTTTGGGGCTGTCGTCGTGTCTACACAACCTCAGGTGAGTTGTATTGTACTGATGGAAAAAGCATTCGTAAGGGCAATTGTGATTCTGACTCATTGCTGTATCTGGTTGTCTCAATGAGAAGAATTTTATTTGAAAAAGTAATATGTCACTTTATCACAGAACAATGAAATATTGACAAAAAGTGAATAGGAAATTTTATGGAAAGATAACTATTGTACCAATATTTACCTATAAATTAATCATCATTCTTCTTGTAATACAAAGTCATAGTATTACTTTCACCAATGGCTTTTGAATACAAATATATAAGTCAGTTCCAGTCCAAACATTTACCCTGTAAAACAGTGCTTTATGTTATTGGTTGGCTTTTCTTTGTTTGCAGGTCCATGAAATCAGCGTCACTTCGTCTGAAATCAAGCCTGACCCAGTTGTGATCCAGGTGAACGACATTGTGGCGTGGACGTTCCGCAACCCGCGGACGTTTGACGTGGCGCTGGTGGAGACGGTAGACCAAGTGCTGGATGCCCATTTCTCAGAGAAGGTGCTGACTCCCAGGTACGTGGCTGGAGATTGGCTCAGGGATGCTGTCTTCTGTTTGTGCTGTAGAGACTAGGGGAACTAGGTGGGTCACGGAGAGTATGAGCAGGGATAACCTCTAACCCTGGACATGACCTTGCTCAGTTTGCGTTCCATTACATGCACTTGATTCATGCATGTCTGCTGGCACTGAACTTTTCCTAGTTGCATTCACTAGTGGTGGAGGTATTTATCAGATATTTTTGCCTGACAACAATTGTATTACCCGACAGTTATGCACTGAAGTTGCAGTGTTGTGTGTTTCCTGCAGTCTTGATACAGATGAAACCGTACTTTTTACAGTCCTGCGTTGAGGCAGAGAAATATGAGTTTGTCCAGTTTACTTGTGCCAATTCCTGACTGGCTTTACATTATAAAAATCATCTCAGGGAATTGTTATTGTGTGGCCTCTAGACATGGGGAACTTACTGTAACCATGCCATTGTGATTTCAACAGTGCCGTTGTCCTTTTTAATCAAAGAATTTCAAACCTGGAAATAGTTCATGATTTAACGACTTGCCAGTAAAAACTGATGCTTGATTGAAAGAGATGGTTTTTTCCAAGTCATATCTCAGTCGTAAAACCTGTAACCGTCGTTCAGAATACCCGTGTTACATTTTTAGAGGTTGCATAATTAGAAAACACATTGTGACTGTCACTTACCTCATGTGGTAAGTGATCCTCTCATTTGTCGGATGAAAGGTCATTCTGACGTGACCTGTAATGGGATGTCCTCAGGTCTTTGTTTTTACAGCAGCTAGAACTAAGATCTGATTTTAATGAGATTAGTGACAGTGGTAGCCAGTAATGTCCGGCCGTCAGCAGTGTCTGGCTGTCTGCAGTGTCCGGCCGTCAGCAGTGTCTGCACTGTCCGGCCGTCTGCAGTGTCCGGCCGTCTGCAGTGTCCGGCCGTCTGCAGTGTCCGGCCGTCTGCAGTGTCCAGCCGTCTGCAGTGTCCGGCCGTCTGCAGTGTCTGGCCGTCTGCAGTGTCCGGCCGTCTGCAGTGTCCGGCCGTCTGCAGTGTCTGGCCGTCTGTAGTGTCTGGCCGTCTGCAGTGTCTGGCCGTCTGCAGTGTCTGGCCGTCTGTAGTGTCCGGCCTTCTGCAGTGTCCGACTGTCTGCAGTGTCCGGCCGTCTGCAGTGTCCGCCCGTCAGCAGTGTCTGGCCGTCTGCAGTGTCCGGCCGTCTGCAGTGTCTGGCTGTCTGCAGTGTCCGGCTGTCTGTAGTGTCCGGCCGTCTGTAGTGTCTGGCCGTCTGTAGTGTCCGGCTGTCTGCAGTGTACGGCTGTCTGTAGTGTCTGGCCTTCTGCAGTGTCCGGCTGTCTGTAGTGTCCGGCCGTCTGTAGTGTCTGGCCTTCTGCAGTGTCCGGCCGTCTGTAGTGTCCGGCTGTCTGCAGTGTCCGGCTGTCTGCAGTGTCCGGCTGTCTGCAGTGTCTGGCTGTCTGTAGTGTCTGGCCGTCTGTAGTGTCTGGCCGTCTGCGGTGTCTGGCTGTCTGCGGTGTCCGGCCGTCTGCAGTGTCTGGCTGTCTGCAGTGTCTGGCCGTCTGCAGTGTCCAGCCGTCTGCAGTGTCCGGCCGTCTGCAGTGTCCGGCCGTCTGCAGTGTCCGGCCGTCTGCAGTGTCTGGCTGTCTGCAGTGTCCGGCTGTCTGCAGTGTCTGGCCGTCTGCAGTGTCTGGCCGTCTGCAGTGTCTGGCTGTCTGCAGTGTCTGGCCGTCTGCAGTGTCTGGCCGTCTGCAGTGTCTGGCTGTCTGCAGTGTCCGGCTGTCTGTAGTGTCTGGCCGTCTGTAGTGTCCGGCCGTCTGTAGTGTCTGGCTGTCTGCAGTGTCTGGCTGTCTGTAGTGTCTGGCTGTCAGCAGTGTCTGGCTGTCTGCAGTGTCCGGCCGTCTGTAGTGTCTGGCTGTCTGCAGTGTCTGGCTGTCTGTAGTGTCTGGCTGTCTGCAGTGTCTGGCTGTCTGTAGTGTCTGGCTGTCAGCAGTGTCTGGCTGTCTGTAGTGTCCGGCCGTCTGTAGTGTCTGGCTGTCTGCAGTGTCTGGCTGTCTGTAGTGTCTGGCTGTCTGCAGTGTCTGGCTGTCTGTAGTGTCTGGCTGTCTGCAGTGTCTGGCTGTCAGCAGTGTCTGGCTGTCTGCAGTGTCCGGCTGTCTGTAGTGTCCGGCCGTCTGTAGTGTCTGGCCTTCTGCAGTGTCCGGCTGTCTGCAGTATCCGGCCTTCTGCAGTGGGTGGGATTGTTTAGACCAGATGGACTCCTCATTATTTCTTTAGCCAAATAACAAGGAGCAGTCAACCTTACAGTGTTTGAGTTGACACATGTGAATCAGTTTTTGGAAAATATTGCGAAAATAATAATTAGTACCCAGGCAACATAAGGCATGTTACATTGACTACGTTGTAGTTAGTTATTGTCATCTAATCAATAAACTTCAAGTGTACTAGGTAAGAAGGACATTTTAATTGGTATTCGGCTCCTACAATTGCTGAGCTCGATATCGGTATCGATTGTGAGGACTTTCTTATCTAAGCATTCAGAAAACATCTTTCATTTGGAAGAATGTTTAGGGCAGTGATGCAGTGTCTGTGACAAGGAACTAAATGTTGTGCTTGACTTGTTTATTTCCTACGATGATCCCTTGAGACTGTAGACTTGCTCCACTGAACTTCATCAGACAGGTGCAGGTAGTGACTACATGGCAGACTTGGCTTGTCACTGATGTCACTCACATACCATGTAGATGTACAGGGTCACTCACAGCAGGGAGTTGATAGTTATAGGAGACAGGTGGTAGTGACTACATGGCAGACTTGGCTTGTCACTGATGTCACTCACATACCATATAGGTGTACAGGGTCACTCACAGCAGGGAGTTGATAGGAGTTATAGGAATTAAAGCTTTATGGTAAAAGTCTTATTTAAAGGGTACTCTAGCTTGTTAACTGTAGCAGAAAACCTCAAGGTCATTTCTCAATCTTGTCGATGAAGTCACACGTTAAACTGACTGATACAATGTCTTTGTAACTTTCTTGTTATATTCTGAATAGCCCAGAAGATATGGGGAAGCTGTCCTTGAATGGGCCTATCGCTGTCCTGCATTTCATCTTTTACATCCAGGCTATGTCATTTTAAGGATATCATATTAATTATGTATTGTTAGGAACTGTTCTGGTCCACATTCAATATAAAATTTATTAAATGCATTTCTTGTAATGGATATGTTTTTCTTTCCACTGGTGGAAACTATATTCTTATATATGTTGTTGTTTTTGTTTATTTGTATGTAATAGGCAGCTTTCACACATTGTTTACTTGGTTACGTAATACAGTAACTAAATATTGATTTAAAATCAATAAACAAGATAGTGCAACAAGGCAATCAATATGTCTACGAAGAAAGAGTGTCAATGTTAGTGACCCAATCACTGAGAGATGTGACATCCAGTCAACCGGAGAAGAGTCTTGACAGCAGTTACCTGGGAAACATCTTGACAACAAGCTGCCTAGTTAGATACACTCTGTGAGTTACAGGGAAGGACTGGAATAATGAGGATGTGTTGTGTGGGTTGTCAGTCCTACAGCTGCTTCCGCTGGTCACCATGTATGTTAGGCATGGGAACTAAGCTGGCAGCAGCGTAGTAGTGCTGGGTGTTAAGTTTCTATGTAACCTGTGGACATTTCACTGTGCTGAGGGAACATGTTATGATTTCATGTGATTTTATGACTGTCTCTGTAGCATGTAAGTTGTTAATGATTTGTAATACATTCCATATGAATTGTCTCCCTTTAATTTTCAAACATTTGTAATTGTATGGCCATATTTGGTTCTGCATATGCATCTGGCACATGGGTTGAGTACTACCGACCTTCGCATTGAGTGTTTCAGTGCATTATGAAATAATAAATGTGGCATGGATATGACTTGAGATGGATTTTGTCCTCTTTTGTGACTAAAGTTGAATGTTGATCCTGATCAGCCTTGTGACATTCCATCACCGGCCTTTGTCAGAGAGTCAGTCTCCATCTTGTGTACTGATGTGATCTGTGCTGTTTCAGACGCTGTATTCCCCGTGCGCTGACAACCACAGGGATAAAACACTACCACAGCAAGTCCTTCCAGAAACAGAAGAGCAAGCAGAATGTAAGCACAATACCCAACGCCTGGTCACAAATACTCAAGGAATTATTCTTGTAATGTTTTGTTTTAAGGCATGGACCCTAGCTGAAGCCGAACCAAGTTTGTTTCTTCATCCCTACGTGTTGTAAACTAAGCCATTATAGTTGTGAAGACAGGATGGTTAATCTTATGAAAAAATGTTGTTTGTGGTTTTCTAAATGTTGGCCAACTCTGAAAATCTTGTCAGGCTAAGCTAAGCAAGACTTGTGTATTCATCTGGCTGTGGAGGCTAGTTGATCGGTGTAAGTTTTCTTCTGTTCCACTCAGGGATGTTTTATCACTGGTTAATCACTATGGCATCACTGTTGAAGTTTCTTTGACAACTTTTGTTGCAGTTTATGGCAGAAACCAAACTGAGCAGTGTGATAGCTGACGAGAGATACGACAACGAAGTGATCCGTGTTGATAACCAAGGCTTCCATCCAGCTCAACTCTTCCTGCAAAAGGTATAGCTGGATAGCTGGCCATGTATACATTCTGTATACTTCTTCTAGGAAGTCAGGACCATTGTTGTGCGGGCATCAGGAAATTGCATACCCAGTGGATGATTATAAAAGCTAAGACTTATCACATTTCAGGAATTAGAGTTATGTCCAGTAAGATTCAATTGACTAGAAGAGCTACTTGTCATTTTCTTGAACACTTGCTTTTTACGTGATGACACTCTCTAAGTCAGCAGACTAAGGGTTAAGGAATGCTCCATTGACTGGCCTGTATCAGGAATTAGAGTTATGTCCAGTAAGATTCAATTGGCTAGAAGAGCTACTTGTCATTTTCTTGAACACTTGCTTTTTACGTGATGACACTCTTTGAGTAATCAGTCTTAGGGTTAAGGAATGCTCCATTGACTGTCCTGTATCTATACTGCATTCCTTCATCTTCGTACTGTCTGTAATATGTTTTATGTAACGAGCAATGTGATGAGAAGGCTGATCCGGTGGGTGATCTAGTTCAGTGAGTATTTCCAGTCATGCAGTGTTCTACAGGATAAACTGTCTGACTGTGCTTGTCTGTACAGGGCCAGAGTGTGTTGTGGACGTGGAAGGGCAGCGACATCCCTCACAACATCATCCATGTCAACTCCCCCAACAGTGACGTAAGCTTTCCTTCTCTCACTATCACAATGTATCTACAATGTAATGCACAAATTGCCTGATTCAATATCTATTAATACAAAAATCTAAGAAAATTTGTTGTATTGTATTGAAATATGAGTGTTCCTGTCTGTACGGAATTGGTTTATACTTATGTTTGGAACTATTATTTTTAAGAAGTTGTCGTGTCTTGTCTGTACGGCATCGGTTTATAGTTATGTTTGGAACTATTATTTTTAAGAAGTTGTCGTTTCGTGTCTGTAGAATCCCCTGAACGTGATCCAAGGAGCCCAGTCTTTCAATAGCGGCAAGCCGGTCGCAAACAACAGCTTCCTGTACACGTTCGACGAGGAGGGTGCTTACACAGTTGCCTCACAGGGGGCGCCAGGGTTCGCCTGCACCATCTCAGTCATGGATGTTGGTAAGAGCACCGACAAAGTTCTTATTAAAAAAATCAGGACATGTTGGTGCCTAGATTGTTTGGGGGCTACAGGGGTTCAGGTTTTTTTATTCTATATCTGTGAATAAATTAACAGTCAATGTAAGATTCTCATTTCCGTTCAATAATTGAATGGTTACGACAAACATGTTGATCCAGTTGTATGTACTTGGATGGCAAATACATGGCTTCTCATTTAATAACTATTCTAATCTAATTTCCGCTTCTGTTTTCGAGTTTAGAATTATGAAAAAAATATTTCCTTTAGGCATTCAACCTCATTTTGTAAGAATTTATTACAGCATGGTTTGATGAAAGATTTCAGATCTTTTTATTAATGACTTTTTTATTGATTGAGTTCAGCTGACAAAAGATATGCATACTTTGATATGCTTGATTGGATTTTCCATCATTGACAGCTCATTATGTATTGATAATCAGAAGGTTCCCCCGTCATACATAGATCCTACCCTTGTAATCAATAGATCTGTCGTGGACACAACAGTCAATTGATGTTTAATCAATGAACTTTGCGTTTTGAATCTGATAATTCATCATGCCTAATATGTTTTAATAGCACCAAGGTGCCCGGAGCCTCGCATAACATCTGACTCGAACGGTGGCACCGTGAACCGCTACAGTATTGTGAAACTGGCGTGTTCCCTAGACGGTACATCCATCTACTACACCATAGATGGATCTCTACCTGCGCTGCACTCGGACGCAACCAAGGTAGGGGATGGGGTTGGGGTGAGGTGGAAGAGGGGGACAGGGTAGGGTAAGGTTGTGTGAGGTCTATGTCTAAGGGTACCTTTTGGGTAATTTAGGGCAATTAATGTTAATTGAGCATTTTTAAGCAACTAAGTTTTCTAAAACACTATATAATTGTTGTTGAGTGATAGTCTGTATTTCCTGGATGTGTCCATGTGATCTCCTATTGATGTGGTTCTCCATGTACAGAGGTACAAGCCAGAGCAGGGGGTTATTCTGAGGGACTCGGGGCTGAGTTTTGTCCGAGCCATGGCGGTTATTGACGGCTACCTCAACAGTCACATCTTCACATCCAAGTGAGTTCCACAACTTAGCCCTGTGTCTTTCATCTCTTGTTTCTTGACTCGGAACCTTTTTGCAGGTTTCTTGGTTTAATTTCATGCTATGGAACTATTTAAAGCATATTGAACAGCATATTGTTCATGAAAGGACTATGTCCTTGATGGTTTAGATCCATCATTATGATGGCATGTGTTCCATGTATCTAGTTTGCCATTGACAGTTTTATGTTATCAGTGTAGGCTGAGTGATATTTATTCGTGACTTTGAGAAAGTGTCTAAGAAAAGCTCTTTAAATACAAGGGTCTGTTTTTGACTGTTAACTGATTATGCCCTGTAACTTCCAGTCGGTTCTGGGTGCTGACGAGAGAAGAGGAGGGAGAGGGTGTTCCAGAGGACTCCCTCACAGAGGACATCCAGGACAAGCAGGAGACATCGGTTAGTTGTCAGGGGCAACCAGGGTTTAGATAGATAGTGAGCGGGAGACATCGGTCAGTTGTCAGGGGCAACCAGGGTTAGATGGATAGTGAGCGGGAGACATCGGTCTGTTGTGAGGGGCAACAGGGGTTTAGATAGATAGTGGCCAGGGGACATCAGTCTGTTGTCAGGGGCAACACAGGTTTAGATAGATAGTGGCCAGGGGACATCAGTCTGTTGTCAGGGACAACTGGGGTTCAGATTGATAGTGTGCAGGGGACATTACTCTGTTGTCAAGGGTAACTAGGGCTGTTAGATTGATCAGGGGACATCACTTTGTTGTCAAGGGCAACTAGGGTTGATATTGAGCAGGAGACATCGGTTAGGTGTGAGGGGCAACTGGAGGTCAGATAGTGAACAGGAGTCATTGGTCTATTGTCTTTGTTGCAACAGGGAGTATATTGATAGTGAGCAGGAAACATCAGTTAGTTGTCAGGGTAACCAGAGGAAGCAGGAGAATAAGAATTATTCTGAAAATTGACTATACCACTGTTAAAATGAACTCAGTGCTTCCATGTATTTACCAAAGCGTCTTATCTCAGACAAGTGCCTGGAACTGGTGGAACTGCTGCCCTACCATCAAGGGGTGCTTCACAGCCCCAGGAGTCATGGAGCTGTTCTGGGAGAAGCCCTCAGAGGGGGCACAGCATCTTGTCAAGGGATATCAGGTTAGTGTAGCAGTAGGTTTTTACTAACATTTGGTTTTATACATTAATTAACTGGTACACTTTTGTTAGAATTGTGTCTTTTTAGTTTGTTTCAAGAAATCTTAATCTTATTATCAAGCCATTGATGAGGTTGATTGAAAAAAGCTTGCATCAATCTCTTGTCTCTAGGTGTTCTTGAATGGTGTGACGTACTGTGAAATGTTCCCCAAGGATAACAACAGCATCAACATCAGCGGCATGGCGGGCAACCGTCTCTACGAAGTCTATGTGGAGGTCTATCCTAAACGGTCAACAGAGGAACCTCAGAAGTCCAACAAACTGGTCAGTTGAAGCTTGATTTGGTTTAAGATGAGACACGTGACCTGTGGTGTGGCAAGTGAGTGGTTAAGGTGTTTGTTTCATGAACACTAGTTCATCTGGGATACAGTAGAGTCACCTTGGATTTAGTTCAAGGTGCTGTCCAATGTGTCAGTGTCCCAAGAACTAGTTTGAATGTTTGTGTATGGACAGAATGTAACTTGACGATATGTAACTGATGTAAGTCCTCTCATCTTGTCACCAGCGTATGCGATGTCCGTCCACGACGCCAGAGGGAGGTCCAGTGATCTCTGTTGAGGTGTCGGAGAAGTCGGATGCCCTGACCATCGTGTGGATGTCCATGGACACACCAGAAGTCCCCATCGATGGCTACCTTGTCTTCCTAGATGACCAGCAGTGTGGACCCAAGGTAGGATGTTACGGACATCGAGTGGGCAACAGCATATTCCTCATTGTTCCGATCCTTCCATCAAGTAACGGCATGAGTAGCAGAGGTATCGCAGAACACCCACGTTTCCACTACAGTGGAGTACCATTTCTTGATAGTGCATCAGCTTCCAGAATCAAAGATATATTTTTATGTGTGTTGGTTAAGTACAAGTCATGGCTATGTTCTACTGGAGAATAACAGTTGTGTCGAGGCTGGCACCCGGGGTAGAACATGTACCCAGTACCTCATCCTTGTTGCCAGATTTGACTAAAACGAGTATTGGATGATAGAAATAGGTGATTTGGCTGATTGCAACCCCTGCTTTGCCTGGCCCAGATACAACTATTTATTGGTCACTGTGATAAAGCTGGAATATTGCTGACCCAATATACTGCACAATTTCTCATATTAAATGCATGATGTATGATGTTGTCTTCATGTAAGAGAAAATATTTTTGAAGCATTGATATAAATCCTCTCCATGCATGGTCCCTGTCAGAAGTGTTGGACAGAAACACAGTAGACCAATTGCAGTTACTTACGGCTGCCTTCTGAGAATGCTTTAATTATAACAAACTCTTTTTACATATATCAACTAACTGTTGAAAGTCCTTGGTTACGTTAAGCACTAGTAAGCAGAGGGGATATCTATCAGACATGCCACAGACATGAATCAGACAACGTTTCGTCGGTTGTCGGCACCAAAGGAGAGATAAACCTAAACCAAACATATTTATTGATTCTGCTGATAGGAAAATACAACGATCCAGTCTGAATGTGTCCCTTGGACACCTATGAGTGGGTTCTTATCTGTTGTGCAGTTAAAAACATTTATCTTAGAGCTTGTGAAAACCCCAGCAGGTTCATTGATTCTAGGATTGTAGTTGTTGAGACAGGAGGACTAGGTGAACTTGTGAAGGTGATATATGAGCCGAGCTATGACAGGTATATCGGCCCTATAGTTACATGTACACCTGAGTTGGTGCTGTACTTTGAGGTGTTCCTGGTAACCCGGAGACTTGGTGGGCATGTGACTTGGATGTCATCTGCAGGTTTACAAACACTGGTAGAAGGGGAGGTCTTGGTGCACCTTGTCCTAAGGTTGTGGACCTGTTGCTTGATGCTGTTGTTCTAGTCTGTGGTCTGATGAGTACAATAGGAAGTAGGTACAACATGGTTGTTGATTTTTGTTTTTTGTATATATTTTTTGTGAAACTGTATGAAATACACTGTACATAATGTTATGTTTGATATATATTCTTAACTGTTGCTTTGTTCTGTGGTATTGTTGTAGTTCTGCCACAGTAGTCAGTACATCTGATGGTTGAACCGGGCCTGAGCATTGCAATGTTATTGTGATAATTACATCCCTTCTGTCTGTTTCAGCTGGTACCGGATGAGGATTCCAACCGGTGTAAAGTGATCGTTGGCAGCTGTGAACTAGACAAAACCTACAAGATATACGTCCTGGCGCTGCTCAAAGGTACGACATGCACACAGTGCCACGTCATGGGGCATTCATGGGGAGCACTGGCCCCTACTACACCCCCTCTACACCCCCTCTACACCCCCTCTACATACAGATGTTGATAACCCATCCTCCAAATCATGTCTAAGTATCACATTCTCCCTCCCCATCTCTCCATTCCTTGCCTGACCTACCCCCTCTCTGGGTACAGCGGTTGATATCCCCAACCCCCAGACCAAGTCTGACCCACCCCCTCTGGTACAGCTGTTGATACCCCCACCCCCAGACCAAGTCTGACCTACCCTCTCTGGGTACAGCTGTTGATACCCCCACCCCACACCAAGTCTGACCTACCCCCTCTGGTACAGCTGTTGATACCCCCACCCCCACACCAAGTCTGACCTACCCTCTCTGGGTACAGCTGTTGATACCCCCACCCCCACACCAAGTCTGACCTACCCTCTCTGGGTACAGCTGTTGATACCCCCACCCCACACCAAGTCTGACCTACCCCCTTTGTGTACAGCTGTTGATACCCCCACCCCACACCAAGTCTGACCTACCCCCTCTGGTACAGCTGTTGATACCCCCACCCCCACACCAAGTCTGACCTGCCCTCTCTGGGTACAGCTGTTGATAACCCACCCCACACCAAGTCTGACCTACCCCCTCTGGTACAGCTGTTGATACCCCCACCCCACACCAAGTCTGACCTACCCTCTCTGGGTACAGCGGTTGATATCCCCAACCCCCACACCAAGTCTGACCTACCCCCTCTGTGTGTGCAGGAGTCGATGAGACGCGGATGTCCAACATCCTGGAGGTGGAGCTGCCCCTGGACAAGACTCAGATCATCCTGCCCGGCGAGGACCAGAGGCTGGAGGATGACGAGGTGTACCAGGAGTACCTGGAGATCCATGAGGGGTCCGGATACCTCCCCGAGATGGACAGTGAGTACCCCTCCATCAGTGTTCACATTGTGCATTGTTCACACAGCTTGCTATGAATGTTGTAAGAATTATGACAGCATCTGAGACTGATTGGTGTGTTTGAACATGAGACATGATTAAGGAATGAAGAGAAGCTCCATTAATACTTTGCTTCAAGGTAGCTCAAACAGATGAAGGAGCAACACGCAAGCAAGAGTTTTGTGAAGTATTCTTGAGTTGGATGTGCAATGGTGGTGCAATAGTCTTATTGTACCACATTTTGCTGTGCAGTTATGTCCCTTTGTTGTGTCTGGATCCACTGATCATGGCTATGAGTCCATGATTTACCCTGATTATGATGCTTGCCTGGTCTTTTGTCAGAATCGTCACTGGTTCCACCAAATGGTACACATTAAACTGACCTGCCAGGATATAACTGAAATTATGTTCATATGGCAGTAAACCCAAGTCACTGGATTTGAGTTGGACATTCTATTTGAGTAGCAGACTTTTCACCTCAGTTTTAGATGTAGTACTTGAATTATTTCACTTAATGCACTTTCATTCTCATATGTTCAGTTTCACAAACCTTTTAGACTGCATGATCATTTGTGTTGTATTGTGCTCACCATGTGGTTATATTTGCATGCACATGTCCGTATGACTTCCTTCCTCCCTGTAGAATCCCCGACGGAGGACGTGGACGGCCGGAAGGGGGAGAAAGTGGACACTTCACCACCTGTCATGCTAGATGCTTCCACGCTAGGTACACATGCACCCTGTATGGTCAACGGTAGCACCTGGCAGCATGGTGCACACTGCACTCACGCACTCGAATTAGCATCCGTTACTCAGCAAGAGGGGTTTTATCCATGAAAGTTATTATTGATCTGTTTTCATCCATTCCTGCAGGCATTTTGGTAATTGTGGTGACCATTTTGTCATCTCTTTCCTGTAATGATCTAAACAAAATCTGATTTATTTTCTGGGTCACTTATGTTTTCTCCTATTAACTAAAGATAGTTGTCTCATGGTTTTGATGGAGACTGCAGTGCAAAGACCCTCAAAAGAAAAGCTTAGTGTCTGGTGTCACCTCCTCCCTCTGTTTGTCATGGTTGTGTAAGGGTAAGTGTGATCATGCTGTCACCAGTGTCATTCTGTTGGTGGTAGAAGATATGTTGTAATGATGGGTGTTAGACATGCACTCACACATTGTTGGAATGTCTTTCTGTTGGTCTACATTGTCAGCAATAACTGAGTAGGTCAGCACACATTTGTATATTTATGTTATATTGACTCTTTAGTCACTTACCCGTGAAGATCCAGGTTAATATTGGTCTTCAGCAACCCATGTATGTCGTAAGAGGCCACAAACGAGATTAGGTGGTCAGACTCGTTGACTTGTCATCGTATCCCAATTGCGTAGATTGATGCTCATGATGTCAATCACTGGATTGCCTGGTCCATACTCAGTTTTTCTAGACTGCCATCATATAGCTGGAATATTGCTGAGTGTGGCATTAAACAACAAACAAACAAACAAATTTAGTCACTTATGTTTGTTTTCAGTTTCATGTACTACAATCAGTAGATTGTACCAGTAATACATTTTGAGAAGCAGTGTTCGAAATTAAACATGAAAGTCAAGGGATCCTTCTGATAGTTTTAAGGCTGATAGTTACAGCCCCTTTGGGATCCTAGATTCCATAGAATCATACCATAGAAGAACCCCACCCCCGAATTTTGAACACTGAAAAGAATTATGGTTGATATTTTATGAAGGCTTCATTCAGTTTGCCCAATTAATCGTCATATGTGTCTTGGAAATTACTTTACATTTTGAAATACAAGTAAGCATTTTAACACCAGCACATCAGAATATGCTACACTAAACTTATAAAATGTACTGGTACTTGAAACATCTCTGTTTGGCCTAACTGTACTGCCACTGACATAGAAGGTATGCATTATGTAACACCAGCCATGCATGGTCCGCCCTCAGGGCACGTAGGTCAGGTGAAGTGCTTCTGGCTGCAGTCATTACATGGACTTGTGTCACAGCATTTGTCACAAATTAATTAGTCTGAAAACTACTTCCAATTTGTCTTGCAGAATTTTATTGAAAGGAAATGACTTAATTAGTAAAAAAATATGTTGTGAAATAAATCCATTCGCAATCTATACAGTCTAAGGTAGAATTTTATTTTAATTCTTAATTTCCTATCAAACAAAAATATGTTGTTAAAATAGATTTTTATTCTCCATGAGATTAACAATCAGTTTGTACCACAAGTTACAAATTTTGATCTGATATAGAAAAGGACTGTGGCTGTGAAAGGGCCTGATAATTCAAGTGTAACAAGTTGTGTTTACTAGTTAGCAACATGATTGTTAATCGACACAAGTTTAGTGATGGGAAACTCATCAATGCTCATAAAACATGCATAGTGGTACCTTGCATGGGAGGGTTAATTAACTGGCTATCTATCTTGATTCTTCACGTCAATTTCAACCCTGATGAAATATACATGGTGGTTGTTGATTGTGAGTGGGTAACTAGGCAACTTGCCCACTTGCAACTGGCGCTTGTCAGTTCGCCATAGACTGGCCCTCGCTGTGACACTGTGCCATCTTGTGGTAGATACCGCAATGGATTCTCATGCGGACGTCCTTTGTGAGCTCTGTCAGGTAATCATCACTGTTGATAATGGGAAGCTGTAGTTGCAAAATTTCCCCTGGAATTTGGGTCATGTTGGCTGTTTTTGGTTTAGAAATTTAATGAGCCTATGAGTCATTTTGTTACATGCTTTTGGGTTTTTGAACTGAAACATTTTCAGCAAATCTAAATTATGTCTTAGATGTATGAAATATCAAATCAGATGACACTCACATACCGTATTTTCTTGAGTATTGTGTGCATTTTTTTCTCCAAAAAACACAGCTGTGTAGAATTGGTGCGCATTATAGACGCAATAATGAGTTTTGATGGTTTTTTCCCCCAACGGAAAGACATTACCGTGAGCATGTAACACTGGAAAAACCATGTCAACAAATCCATACTGAAGTATGCAAATTAATCATGTAATTACACAGTCTGGCTATAAAAAGTGTTCTATGTATATCTAGACTTATGTTTGTAACATATTTCATAAATTTTATTAAAAATTCCTTTTAATATTGTTTTAATTAATTTCGGCGAAATCATGTGTGAAGCAATCGGAAGATCGGACAACTCACCGTTATTAACACCAACGACGGTCAGATTACCGCTTTTGACGCCTTGAAACAAACTTTAGTTGACGGAGAATGGATTCATATATCATAAATGACATACTTTGACTCGTGAAAATTTGTATTTGTTATAGTTCGACGATTCAATGTCAACACGTAGTTCTCGCGATTGCGTGCGCGGGAGCCTCGACGGTGACTGGTCAAACTGGTTCAATGTGAAAAATAATAACCGACAATAGCGATCAGCTGCTTCGCTCAGGGTCATAATTATTTTAAGTATATTTAGTAAAAGCTGCAACTAAAATAACAAGATAATATATTATTCCTGATTTAAAAATAGTTTCAGATACAATTTTTGCCGATCCTTGAATTAAAATCCTGTAAAGTTATATCAAGGTAATCTTAATCCCTGGATGTAAAACAATGCCTAGCAGAACAAAAAATACATTTTAAACGGTAAATCAACATGTCTCGGGATTTTTTATCTCAAATTTCAAATTTGTACTGACCAAGTTTCTCATCACCCGTTCGTTTACCAGAATTGGCTGAAGGGGTACGGTGTAATTTTTTCTGCGCATAATATTCAATTTTTTTTCTTCTCCAAAACACTGAATCCGCTAAGGGGGGGGGGGGCATTATACTTGGGTGCGCACTATACTCAAGAACATACGGTAGTCAATATTTTTTAGCTTTTAACCAAATAATAAATAAAAGTAGATGCATCATATCAAAATTCAAATCAGTGATAGAAACTAACAGTTTTAGTCCACTAGTCCTTTTCATGATAACATGTAGCAAAACCCTTAAAAAAAGACAAATTTCTACCTGTCCTTTATGTGTGATACCCTAACTATTGGGCAGTTTGGTAAGGACGATAAGACTAGTGCAGTTTCTAACACTGTAAGTTGTACAGACTGTCAAATGCCTCTTTGTACACTGGTGCATGATTCATATTGATCAAATGCTGACATTGTAAGTTGTTTTTTCAGAAGAGAAGAATCAGCATGCTAGCACACTCCCACCCAAGGTTATTGAAGTTGAAACAAGAGGTCAGTGGAAACTTTTGTTGACTGTCCATTCATGCCATGTTCTATCAGTAAGCCAGAAACACCACCTATGTCTGACAGGTGTTAATGTCTATGAGATTCATTGGTCCAATTAAACATCTTCACGCAGATTTTGTGATATTTAATTTGAAGGGTGATGGACACTCCTCCTTTGTTCACTACCAATTGTGACTCCTGAAGATCCGGGGTAGAATAGGTCTTCAGGAACCCATGCTTGTCGTAAGAGGCGACTAATGGGATTGTGTGGTCAGGCTAGCTGACTTGGTTGATGCATGTCATCGTGTCCCAATTGTGTGGATCGATGCTCGTGATGGTCTGGTCCAGACTCGATTATTTACAGACCGCCGTCATATAGCTGGAATATTGCTGAGTGCGGCGTTAAACAAACAAACAAACGTACAACTTATATAAATTTCTAATGTTTCTTGTTCTCTTGGGGGATATATTAGTGACAGTCATGCCTGTTGTCCCATGCTTGTTGTAAAGAACAACTAAACTAGAGGTGATCAAAATGGAGGTGTTGATTGTACTGTAATGAATGACAACATGGGAAGACTGATGTTCCGATGAGGTCTGGCTGCTGTGGTGTAACCTTCTACTCCTGCAACCAAGGACAGTCATACTAATAACCATCATATGCCTGCTTCATCCTGATGTTATGTACCATGAAATAGCTGAACAATGTCTTTCTGTCACTTGTGCATGGTATTATCTGCTCACAATAGTCGCGACTAGACCCAAGCATGAAGTATTCAGAGACATTGCTGCAAGATTGTTATTGAGGTCAGAGATGGACTTATGCATGGTCAGACCATCTGGTTTCATATCCATCACAGCATGGACCTCATCACAGGCAGCATGAGAGGAGTTTATGAATGGTTGTGTCTAAGGTCTGCATGAATGTTTTTATCTCACGATCTGCATGATGCTCCCATGGGAAGAACCCCTGAGCTTTGTTCATTCACCAAGTTCACCATTTGATGACAGCCATGATGTCCACTTCTCGAACTGCACAAAGATTTACAGATTCTCCAGAGAGTTTCTTTCTAAGTACTGAGTGAAGCTGAAGGAGTCGTTGTCGAATACCCTAATTGAAATCAGTTAAACAAATAGCCTAGGAATGTACGGTGCTGGAGACAGTATTGGATTATTCTACAATGTACAAACCCAATTCCTTTGCACACGTGTAGTATTCGCTTCCTTGGTATATTTGTGTAGGCCAATTTCAATTTATGGTACATTTCAGTAAATAAAAGGTACCTGGCTTACATACCTGTAGTACTCTATGCGACAACGACCACTTCATGGGCATGCTGCATGTGTTGTTTTAACAGATGTCAAGTTTAATAATCACATTTGTGAATTCACTCTTTCACTGTCTGTCTCCACACAAGGGAGTTTCTGTATCACAGCATATGGGCAAAGTTTGTCGTTCACAGCATTCACCACATGGAATGGCATCACACCGGCACTTGAAATGTCTCTACCTCCATTGACGATTCTCTCTTTTTGTCATAACCAGGCCCACCATTGTTTCCCCACAAGAAGAGGAGATTGAGGAGCTATGCCAACATCTATGTGTATCAGCGAGTCAAACAGGATGCTGTTGAGCCCAAGAAGAGTGGCCTATCGCGCTTCAAGAAGTCCATAGCAGCATCAAGGAATGTCAATACATTTGGGAGGAGACCGTCACGGGCCGTTCCACCTGACCCTCCCCCAGAGCCAGAGCCGAGACCACATCCACGGTTCAGGAGGCAGGCTTCAAGAATTGCTAGTTTGGGAAAACTTGGTTTAAAGCACAGACATCAACCCCAAGAAGAAGAACCACAACCGGAACCAAGAGCAAGCTTTAGTTTCAAGTCCCTTGCTTCTTCTGTTCTTGAGTTTGTGGCAAAGCAGCGCAAGATTCAAAGAGCTGTTGCTCCTAATTCCACTGGTCGGGTTTATATTGACTGGTCCCGGCTCAAGAGTTTTGTGGGCAGTATGATGCCCAGAATGACTGCAATAGCTGCAGCAGCTGCAGCAGCTAAGATGTCTGCCCCGAAGCTGGAGGAGCCAGAGAGTCAGAGAGACTATGATGACGATAGGGAGGGTAGGAGGTACAGGGATGACCATCGGAGGCAAGGCAGTTATGATAGGTCACCCCAGAGGTATGAGCCTGAGTATGAGGACCACCGCAGAGAGGGCCATTCCTCCAGATCTCGATACAGAGACGATTATAGGCAGGGGAGCTTCGAGAGGTCTCCTCACAGAATGGATGGATATAGGCAGAATAGTTATGACCCTCCCTCTCAAAGGGGAGACAAGTACCGTCAGGCTAGTTTTGATCGGTCACCTCGGGACAGACAGGGGAGTTTTGATCGTTCACCTAACCGGTTTGATTCAAGGTATGATGATAGGCGAGGTGGGTATGAGCAGACACCAAGTCGGTCAGATTATGATCAGGATGATTATAGGAATTCTTACGATCGCTCACCTCATAGATCAGATTATGACGATGACCCGAGAAGATATAGACGATCTCCTGTCCCTCCAGATTCTGACTATTCGAGACGGTCCTATGATCGGTCGCCTGCACAGAGTGACAAACATGAGTGGTACAGACGGGAACACTTCCGTCGCTCATCTGACTACGAATCTGACGATTATATGCAGCCCCCAACTAACAGTAGGGAGTATGACTGGCATGTGTATAATGCTCATAGGCAACGTTCTCGAGACAAAGGGCATCTAAGGAGACACAATTCAGATCCCAGAGCAGACTCTAAAAAGTTGTCTGTTCCGGTGTACCGTGGTGACGAAGACTCGGATGACTTTGGTGATGAGGAAGCAGAGCATATTTACCAGGTCAATCGGTACAAGATGCGCCGAAAGTCAGCTGCGGAGGACAAGAGGCCGAAGGAAGTCCAATTTATGTTTGGGCCAGGTGATCATGGTGGTGATTCAGAAAGTGCCGACACTTTGACACCAACTCCAAGGGTATTTAACAGAGACCTTTTCTCACCTCGTCCAGATCAACAAAAACGGCCTTCAGATGGTCATTCAAGATCATCTCACAGGTCAAATACCAACCTAAAGTCTATCTTGAAGCATAGTGACTTCTTCCAAGATCCATCTGATAACATTGACATAAGGGATGAGGATGAAGGGGCCATAACTCCTCCAGGAGAATATGGGGGAATGCTTCATCGCTATCTGGAAATATTTGAGAATTCTCCCAAGAGAGAAGACTCTGACTCCTATTCAGATGAAGGTATTCTAGCATGACCTGTTGTTTGACCTTTCCAAACTGGAGTTTCTGTTGGTGTTCACAGCATTGGTTATTGTGTCACAGGGCATTTAATTTTTCACGTAATGTTCCAGTTGATCATTTAATTGTTCACGTAATGTTCCAGTTGATCATTAGCATAATATTTCTTTTTTGGGGAATCATTGGGACTCACATTCAGATTTTCAGTCTTGATACCAGTGTGATGTTTTACTTTTTGAGTTTGTGATGATAGTTTTGTTTTCAGCATGTGACTGTTTCTGTAAGTTTGCATTCATGTATGTTAATCTGTGTTTCCAGATGATTCAGATGGTAAGTGGGAAAATCTGAACCAGATTCTCAGAAATTACTGCTGGTTTCTTGTTAAATTCACTTGACAACAGTCTATTTAGTTTCCACCTTAGATGCTTGGCCAATGCAAAGTGAAATTCCCATGCCTAATGAATGCTGAAACACAGAAACTATAAGGGAAAACTTCAGGACAACATTTTGAAATCTTTTAGCTATAGTCAACTGCTGTCTAATAATGAGAATCTACTAGTTAGATAGACAAACTTCTCAAACACTGACACATTTAAAGTTTTTAATGGAATCATTGAGTTATTTAGGTTCACAAGTAGAGACAGGACAGGGAAACTAGGGCTTTAGTCGTGTGTAACATTAGAGACAGGACAGAGAAACTGGGGCTTCAGTGGTGTATAACAAGTAGAGACAGGACAGGGAAACTAGGGCTTTAGTCGTGTGTAACATTAGAGACTACAGGACAGGGAAATTTGGGCTACAGTGGTGTATAACAAGTAGAGACAGGACAGGGAAACTTGGGCTTCATTGGTGTATAACAAGTAGAGACCGGACAGGGAAACTTGGGCTTCAGTGGTGTATAACAAGTAGAGACCGGACAGGGAAACTTGGGCTTCAGTGGTGTATAACAAGTAGAGACCGGACAGGGAAACTTGGGCTTCAGTGGTGTATAACAAGTAGAGACCGGACAGGGAAACTTGGGCTTCAGTGGTGTATAACAAGTAGAGACTACAGGACAGGGAAACTGGGGCTTCAGTGGTGTATAACAAGTAGAGACTACAGGACAGGGAAACTGGGGCTTCAGTGGTGTATAACAAGTAGAGACTACAGGACAGGGAAACTGGGGCTTCAGTGGTGTATAACAAGTAGAGACCGGACAGAGAAACTTGGGCTTCAGTGGTGTATAACAAGTAGAGACTACAGGACAGGGAAACTGGGGCTTCAGTGGTGTATAACAAGTAGAGACTACAGGACAGGGAAACTGGGGCTTCAGTGGTGTATAACAAGTAGAGACTACAGGACAGGGAAACTGGGGCTTCAGTGGTGTATAACAAGTAGAGACTACAGGACAGGGAAACTAGAGCTTCAGTGGTGTATAACAAGTAGAGACAGGACAGGGAAACTAGGGCTTCAGTGGTGTATAACAAGTAGAGACAGGACAGGGAAACTAGGGCTTTAGTCGTGTGTAACATTAGAGACAGGACAGAGAAACTGGGGCTTCAGTGGTGTATAACAAGTAGAGACAGGACAGGGAAACTAGGGCTTTAGTCGTGTGTAACATTAGAGACTACAGGACAGGGAAATTTGGGCTACAGTGGTGTATAACAAGTAGAGACCGGACAGGGAAATTTGGGCTACAGTGGTGTATAACAAGTAGAGACCGGACAGGGAAACTTGGGCTTCAGTGGTGTATAACAAGTAGAGACTACAGGACAGGGAAACTGGGGCTTCAGTGGTGTATAACAAGTAGAGACCGGACTGGGAAACTTGGGCTTAAGTGGTGTATAACAAGTAGAGACTACAGGACAGGGAAACTGGGGCTTCAGTGGTGTATAACAAGTAGAGACTACAGGACAGGGAAACTGGGGCTTCAGTGGTGTATAACAAGTAGAGACTACAGGACAGGGAAACTAGAGCTTCAGTGGTGTATAACAAGTAGAGACAGGACAGGGAAACTAGGGCTTTAGTCGTGTGTAACATTAGAGACAGGACAGAGAAACTGGGGCTTCAGTGGTGTATAACAAGTAGAGACAGGACAGGGAAACTGGGGCTTTAGTCGTGTGTAACATTAGAGACTACAGGACAGGGAAATTTGGGCTACAGTGGTGTATAACAAGTAGAGACAGGACAGGGAAACTTGGGCTTCAGTGGTGTATAACAAGTAGAGACAGGACAGGGAAACGAGGGCTTCAGTGGTATATAACAAGTAGAGACAGGACAGGGAAACTGGGGCTTCAGTGGTGTATAACAAGTAGAGACCGGACAGAGAAACTAGGGCTTCAGTGGTGTATAACAAGTAGAGACCGGACAGAGAAACTAGGGCTTCAGTGGTGTATAACAAGTAGAGACCGGACAGGGAAACTAGGGCTTCAGTGGTGTATAACAAGTAGATACAGGACAGGGAAACTAGGGCTTCAGTGGTATATAACAAGTAGAGACCGGACTGGGAAACTAGGACTTCAGTCGTATATAACAAGTAGAGACAGGACAGGGAAACTGGGGCTTCAGTGATGTATAACAAGTAGAGATTCAACAGGGAAACTTGCGCTTAATTCATCACTCAGTTCTGTTGTCATTTCTGTAACACGATCTCGTTTTTCTGCAGTGAAACACATTAACTTCTCATGACATCTTATTTTACCTGTTAATGCCATTTTCACGGATCATTTCTGTTTCACAGTTATGGCACATTCAGTTATAAGTCTTATTGTCAGTGTTCTGATTACATGTATTTTGCTAGTATTTATAATGTTCTCATATGAAATATACAAATAGGATTGTTTTGGTGTTTTCATGTCTTATCATAAATTTAAAACATTCCTAAGATACCTTTGATTCAGGCAAAATTATATGAATTTAGTGTTAAAAAAATATTCAGTCTATTTCAATTTGTTTTCTCAAGATTAAAAGTTAAATATTGGCTATTCAAACACTGTATTCCTGTGATATTAAAAATTATGAAATAGTTATTAATATGGTTCATTGCCCTCATCCTGGTTTTAATCAAGTATCATCAGTGGAATGATGTGATCTTAATTCACTAACGGTGACGAGAATAACACAGATGCTAACTGAAGCGATAAGACTTAACATGTGTCGTCTCATCTAATATACGGGGTAACATGGACCAGTGGCTTGCTGTGCATTGTTACGTGCCTTCGATGCTGTGGGTTCTATTCCCGGATTTCCCAGTTATGATCCTTGGTGTGCCAGGCCCATGCCCCTGGGTTCCCCAAAGTGGCACATAGTACAAACTAGGTCTCACAGGGCTTCCTCCAACGTCAAGGCTGGCAGCCATGATGTGACCGAAATACAGTTAAAATGACTGAAGACCAAATCACTTACTAACTATAATCATGTACCTGGTTCTGAACTTGCATGATTTGGTGGTCAGGAATGATTGAATGTAATTGGTAATTCTTGTAAAGTAGATCAGACCAATCCAGACAAATGAATTTAAACTTCTATATGTCTGTTCTGTTGAGATTTTTCCCTAACATTTACTTCAAGCATTTGCTCACTGAAAGACCTCTGCAGTTCTAATGCTATAGTTCTTGAATTATAACCAGAGGAAATATTGTAGTTGTTTCTTTTTGCCATCAAACTGCATGATAGAATCACACCGATCAAGTTATTGTTACTCCAGAAACTTCTTTAACAATCTCTATAATGGACAGATTATTTTAAATATATATAGATGTGTATCAAAACAACTATGGAAAGAACTAAACCCAGTTTGACGTTCCATCAAAGTATGTATATTTTTTGTGTGTGTCTGTAACATATGATGTCTGTCCTCACCAGATCAAGGGGTCATGACCGATGACAACCTGGAGAAATCCACGCAGACTCGACGAGGTCGCGGTAAGCAAGGCCAACGGTTTGATGACAGCCCCTTGCCTCAGAGCCTGATTGAACAAAGTGAGTCCGAATCAGAGAGTGAGTCCGAGTTTGAATCTGAAGAAGAAGACTTCCCTCGCAACAATGTTGTCATCCTGGATGCAACCAAAAACCAGGCAACCGACTCCGGCAGGACTGAGAAGAAGCGCACTTCAAGACCGCGCAGACCTGCAGATTCTACACAGTCGTCACCACGGAAACGCTTCTCTCCACGAGATGGGAAGTATATAGAACCAGAGGACAATTTGCTGGTGACCCACCCCGACGAGAGGCAGCCGAAGCGTAAACGTACCATGGCCATTGTGGAGGTGCAGCAGCAGGTGGAGCTGGACGTGGACAGAGTGGAGGTGCAGGGCAGCTCGGACCGACCAGACCGCAAACTGGCAGTACCGGGAGCACACGAGGGGGCCAGCATGATGCAGATCGGAGAGGGAGAGGTGAGAGACAGTCACATGTTATGGTGTCATGTTCAGGGGCTTCAAATTCACAGAATACCATCCATTCTTGATTAAGAATAGCTCATTACAAGTTGGCATGTTAATAATCATCCATGCCTCCAGATGAGTAAACAGCACGCTGATTAAGCAGTGGTGGTACAGAATCAGTGTGAGCAGGAATCCCATTTTATACATATGAGTACAAGACATCACTCTCCTGGTTGTTGACACTCTGGTGGTGTTGTTCCAGTTCATCCTAGGAGACGGGGACGGCATCCTGCCTGCTCCGTCCATCATGGTGGAATCCCGTGGCAAGAATGGCGTCAAGGTTGCATGGGAGCTGCCCAAGTCGGTCGACTCCCAGTACAAGCTTCTGCTGTACGTCGTCAATGTTGTCGGCACAAAGTTCACCAGCGACATCAACAGTGACATCAGGTATGGGTCCTTGACACTGTGTACACCAAAACATAGGACACACCCAAAGATTTTAGTTCAAAGTAGCTTTTGTATCCTTACAAAACTCATATCTTCCCGAAAAGGTACATTTCTATGACTCCTACATGTTGTGGATAACGTAATTTGAAGTGCTTGTTCAGTGTAGATTCTGATAGTCAAGTCAGTTCTCTGCACTGGACTCTCTGCTTTGTTGAGCAAGCTCTGTGTGGTTGTGTTGTAGCTTCGAGTGTAACCTGGTGGAGAAGGGGAAGCCGGTGCGGGGTGTTCAGCACTGCTGGAACATCTCCGACAAGCAGAAGTGTACCCTCAGGGGGCTGGTGCCCGGACTCACCTACAGGTAGGAACCGTCAGATGTCCGAGTATCTCCTGCACCACCTGCTGTGCCTAGCTCCTGCTCCTCCAAGTGTGTGGAGGTCCCCAACTCAGCTGATGAAACTAAACATTCACATGTACAACCCTAAAATGAAATATGTATCGAAAGAAGAAAGAACACAGTTTCAGTTCATTTAGTCACACATTGAGACATCTTTCCTTTCAAAATTCATCAAGAAGATGAAATAATGCTGATGCAACATTAAATTTTATCCACTCATAAAGAAGAAATATCCAAAAGAATCACCTTTCTATGATCGATCCCAAGATGTGTTCCACCTTTGACTGGTCCATGTGTGTTGCAGAGTGTATGTGATCGCCAACTACTCCATGGTGCATGGGCAGCAGGCGTGCGAGATTCAGACAACGTCCTCTGTCATCTACTATACCACCATGGGCCCACCCAAACCTCCCAAGATCAAGATCGTCAGTGTTGACCTCTACCAGGTGGGTCATAATATCTGACTTCTTGTTTGTGACTTGTGGCACATTCGCTGATATAACAAAGACTGAGTTATGTATCCATCTGTGTGGTAGTTGTCCTTTAGTTGTACATTAAGATTAAGTCAAGGCTGTGAACAAAAACCTGCAATAATCGGCTACCTTGCCCTCCAGGCTATTGCTGAGTGGGACCCGCCCTCCGTACACCCGGACCTCAAGCTGAAGGGCTACCAGATCTATGTGGACAACAAACCTCTTGGTGGTGTCCGGTCCAGCGACGTCCGGCAGATGGTCATCAACAACTTGATACCAGGTGGGTGGACAAGACTGTTGGGGAACATAGACTATGGCTTCTTGAGTTCTTTATATAGATGATTTACATATACTCACAGTGTAGCCAAGGTTATGGCAACTGTGCTCAAGGATTTACACCATAATAACAGAAACAGTCGCCAGCCTGAAGAGCAAAGGGTACTGATAGGTCTCTCTGGTGGGTGCCACATCAACCAGGTACTAATAGGTTTACAGTGACACTGTCAGTTTCGTCAAAGCTCAGTGCTTTCTGAAAATGTATATGTTTCTGTGTTGCAGGCAAGACTCTCAGTGTGTATGTGGTTGCCATAACATCGCGGGCAAGTCAGGAGAGTGAGCCGTCGCGGACGATGCACATCACGTGTCCGCGCCGACCCCCAGCAGTGGCTATCAGCCAACAGCCGTCCTACAAGAAGGGGTGTGTGCTGGTGGCCTGGGACAAGCCCAGATACACCCATGCTTCCAATGATGAGGAGATCTCTCTGTACAGGTCAGTAGGAAACAAACATGCTGGACATGACTGAAATCTCTTGCTATTTACTTCACTTATAATAAGGAATAATATGAAGTTAGTGTCTTATTTATATTAATGTCTAAATCCTCTTTGCAGGGATGTCAAATACTGACCAGTAAGTTTGAAGGCATCCATGGGAATTACATTTTACTCCCAGGTTCTCGCTAAAATGGGGTTTGGGAACTGCTAACTGAAAGGGCCAACTATTGGCCTGTCATGTTACCCAGAAGGTATTGAGTAGTTACTGTACTGAAATACTGCAGACTTTGGGCCACCACATTAAGGTTACCTTACTGAAATATTGCAGACTTTGGGCCTCCAGCATAAGGTTACCTTTCTGAAACATTGCAGAGTTTGAATGGAAATCCCATTCAATCATTCTTCCAAATTTGGAGGCAGATTCAGTCTGAAATATATACCTTATATAACCACCCCACTTGGTTGAACAGTATCTACATTGATGGGCACTGGCATGGAGAAGTGAAGGCCAACAAAATGAGTGACAAACAGGGCTACCAGTTCTTCCTCACCGATCTCTCTCCTGAACAGCCATACGACATCTCCATCAGGGTAGGTACAGGTTGAACATGAAGATGATCACACCACATACTTGGTGTATACCATGGTAGAGGCAGCCAACTGGCTTATCATGGCGTAGTGAAGTGAATGGGAGTGTGTGCTGCCATATGATTGGTGGAAAACATCGACTTTACTGTCACTGTGTATGCATAGTTGTCTTAATTAATAAGTTTGGCATGTGGTCGTCTGCACAACACACTGGTCACAAATCAGGTGAAGTTAAGCACCATCGGTTGCGGAGAGTAGTTGGATGGGTGACCGCGTTTGGCAGCTTGACTCCTGAGAGCTTTCTAGGGCTTTCTGGTCCAAGGGCTTCGGCCCACACTGAATCACATGAAGCACATGTAGCACATGTGTGTCTACTTAGACAAGTGACTTTGCTCGAAATGTGCCTCTGTTCACACAGCAGTGAATGGGTACCCGGTAGGATGAGATAGTAATGTGGCTGTTAACCTACTAGCTCCTCACAGGCAGCTTGGGTTATGTACTCACCATGCACGGAGCTGAGAATGAAAAAAGGTGCACACTTTTTCATTGACCAGGGTAATAATGTAGCCCTTTGAGCATGCTGTAGGGTGTGGATTTGGAGCATTATCAGTATGCACATTATTATTAAGTATCTTTTTTCCTCTCAATCACAATTAGATAAACCATGGCACACAGCTTATTGATTAGGATACTGCATTCATGTTTCAGGCCATCTGTGGTACCCGCCGCGTGGACTCTGATGCCCAGCACGTCTACTGCCTCAGTGACAGCGGCATGTCCAACATCGTCCCCGTCATGGCGCCAGCAGCGCCCAAGTCACCCAAGCTGAGGCTGGAGGGACTCCACCCGGACGGTATTGACTGTACATGGCAGGTGCCCCAGCAGTTCGGAGACGCTTCCATATCGGTAAGTGCAGGAGCAAGAGGGTACTTCTTACTGCAGGGAGATATGTTGTAGAAATGCTTGTTAAGATGTATCAAATCACTGAAATTACTGAGAATTTGGGGTATTAGATTAATTGTATTGCTGATGAATAGCTATATACTGAAAAAAAGTGATCATGAATATTTTAGGGGGATATGTTTATGAAATTGTGTGCTCTGTCAAAATATCCCCAAAATTATTCACGATCTCTAACTGTTTTATTTCAGTATATGTACCATTAGTTTGCCTAGTGGAGCTTATGATGTTTTGATTAGTTTTTAGTTAAGTATGATGAGTTTATGTGTGTCATACCCTATGAAATTGTCATTCAAATGACCAATATTTAAACATCTCATGACGACATAGGATGTCTCGTACATCCTAATGGCTCCTATCTGACATGCATAGTTTGTTGTATTTTGTATGATGCCACATGGGTAACATGTACCTCTCCTGGTGCAGGGCTACCAGATGTTGAAGAACGGCAAGCTGTATGGCTCCATCATCCCGCCGGACGTGAACAGCCTCCGTATCCGGGACATGATGCTGGGGGAGAAGGTGCAGCTGCAGCTCATCGCGCTCACCGAGCACCCCGTCGGGAAGGACACACGCAAGTCTCTGGACGGCGACTCCGGCATCGAGGGGGGACTCAGTCAGCCAGACGAGAGGATCACAGGTACGCAGACATGACTCAATGGCAGTTGTTTGTGAAGAGTCTACTCCTCATCATCAACAGTTCATTTGCAGTTTGTTTTGATCAATTATGCTTGTGAGAATTTAACTTGTGTAGTTTGTTGTAGTGTGAGTTGTCTAACCTTGTATTATCTGCACTTGAAGTAAACAGCTTATTTATTTATTTTTATCATTAGTAATAATTCTACAAATGGCTTTTTTGTAGAAGTTGTTTTTGTGACTGGATATTAGTGTGTAGAAGTATATGATAGATAGTATTATGTGAACTAACTTTTATCATAGACAGTTGCCCTTCACCCATCTGTAGAAAGACTGTGCAACTGTCTACCACTTTAGATGATAATCTTTGAATCAAACATGCCTGTTGACTGCACCGTGGCCCTGACAAACACCTCTGCCCAACTGTTGGATCATATGTCCATTTTGTAGTTACCCCTTCTCATTGCCAGAGTTGGCTACTATAAGAACTGGGTGGGACCTGGTTGATTAGGGGCATCCAATAACATGGATTATGTTCACGCAAATGTAGCAGAGCGTAAAGTCATCCCTCGGATGACATCCTTACCTTGTCAGCTTGCTAATGGGGTTATACATCTTTGGCCATGTGGACAAGGAGTTTGACCTTTGATCAGGTCCATGGTTCAAATCCCATCACAGGACTCTGAACTGTTATGGATCCTACACAAGCAAGCGCACCTAGGGTTGCCTGGTCCAGAGTGAATATTTCACTGGACCCATACAGCTAGAATATTGTTGTCTGAGGCATTAAGCTGCATTCACTCTCTCCCTTCTCCTACTAATGATGTACGTTGAATATATCTAAAAGGGTTCAGAAACAGTATTGTATCAAACTTGCTACACTTTCCAGGCAGGCTGTATTACTTTACCATGCCACTCTTCTTATAGTTGCACATTTCTGAGTCAAGTACATCAATGTTAGACTTATACAACGTATACAATAAAAGAATTGGTTCTCAGACATTTCGGTGAAATCATGACGTTCTTAAGTATTGTAGCATTTCACTGCCAAGATTGTGTGTTCCATATGTGGAATATTTAAAGTTTTTCTCTTTTTTTCTTTTAAAAATGGAAATAAAAACGAAATGTGCGGCAGACTTTAGGATGATGCGGGCGGTGCCTCAGAACCAAGACTATTATTTTTTCAGCCTTAGTATTGATGGTTTGTTGCATTTATCAGAGATACAAATCTGACAATGTTCATTGGCCTACAGAGCCTTTAAGTTCTTTTGCACTTCAATCTGTTAGCATTGAAAAAGATCTGATGAAGCTTTTAGACCCAGGTTTTCTGATCTTAGACCTGCATAGCTTTGATGAGTGTTTTGCTATTCAGCCACTGCGCCAGAACCACATAAACTTATTTTCCACGCACATGATGATCCTACGGCAGATCTGCCAGCTTCTGTTAAGGGTAACTATGGAAACGGAGTGGGCTTTGCTACACATTTGCTTCATGCAAACAAGTGCAAATACCAGACACAAATTCAGATCTTGGGGCAATGGCATCTCCCATCTTCAATCAAAATCAATTTAAAAAAGAAATTCAAGGAGTGCTCGTATGACATTAACAAATTTTGACAATCATTGTAGGCCATGGTTTCAACGTATTTGACAGCATTAATTCTGTTTCGTTTTCTAAAAATTGACATTTTTGCACTTGTTTGTTGATAATATCAACTTCCAACAGGAGGCTGTGTATCAAGAATGGGTGCCTCTAGTCTAGTCTCTAGGGTTCTGTTCTTCAAAGCAATCGTATGCTAGGTCAGTCGTAAGTCTATGTAAGGTATGGGAGTTCCTACACATAGTACTGACATTGCTTTGTGGAATGAGGCCTAGCACATTAGTAGGTTTAGTACTGATGTTTTCTCTTTCTTTCCAAATGTGGTGGCTTCGTAGCTTGTCTGCCCCTTGTAGACTGCAGCTCAGTCAACAGGAATACCTACAGCAACCTGCCGACACTGAGTTCCTGAACACTGAAACAGAATGTTCCAGCATGAAGGAGCAAACTTTATGTGTGCTGTGTTCTGTGTAATCATTACTGCGAGTGAACTTTCACCTCACCTGGTGTGTCGTATATAACCCTATAACCAACCAAACACTATTCTTCTGACGACCAGAAGCCAACTTGGGCAGTCTTGTACATGGCTTTCTCAACACAGTTGTATTACTTAAGGGACTCTTCATGGTGGCATTATAACATTATGTCAAAATCACTTTGAATGTCAAAATTTGAATCATGAAGTTCCTAATTCCAAAATTAACCTTTCCTCTCCATGTTTTATGGGGTGGCCTTGTTTGAGTGTCCATGCGAAGGTGGCCTGAGTTGTCTGTATAATATAACTAACTCTATCTCATCATCATATCACAACTATATCATTTTTGCTCATTTCAGTTATATCTTATGGGGTTTTCAGCTTCACACTAACTAAAGATGCCAAGCATTGTTTTCACCAATTAAAAACATGCTAGCCTACTTCATCAATTTGTACTAGATTGTCTCCTATTCAGCATTAATCATGATTACCGGTGTAAAGTCTGAAAGTATACCCCCCCTTCAAAGTATACCCAGGTAGATTCTGGGGCCTTCCAGAATCTAGCCCGGGGTAGATTTTGGGAGCTCCCAGAATCTACCCCCCTTTCTCAGAATCAACCCCCAGGGTATACTCTAGGAGTTCCCAGAATCTACCCCTGGTTATAACTTTAATCTAGGAGCTCCAAGAATCTACTGCAGCCCTGTTTGATTTAAACATTTTTATTTTATGAATGTACTTGAAGTTTTCTTTTGGCGGATGCATCTAACTCAGTCTTGACCTCTCCTGGTCAATTGCTGTAAAAACATTGTCATCTGATTAAGTTTATTGTTTTTAATTGATATTTTTTACTCCTGTATCCCTGTTACATATATATCTCTGTAGCCAGGGAACTACAGAGCTAAACATCAGAGAACAAAAACCATGTAGTACTTCCAATCAAGATACAGGTTTTGTGGGGGAGTTTATTTTACAAGACAACACAAAGACAGCATTCATTCACCATTGTCACATATTAGATCAGGGCTAATTCATAACATAATGTGAAATGTTATAACAGCTTCTCTAAGTGGTAATTAGTACGTGTTCTTATTCGAATAAACCATGACACATTGCCCATTGGGTAAGATCAAACTCAGCATCAGTCATAGCATCCTTTGTACATTGCCCATTTGGTATAAAACTCATTAAAACCAATTTTACTAAAATGAATAGTCTTTTCAATATAGTAACTCATTTTTAAATCATTCTTAAAATGTACAGTGGTTTGTTATTGTTATCCTGAGCCTGTGTCTGAGACCTGCTTGTTCTGTTGTAGATGTGTTCACTGGTGACCGTTACTCGGGGTGCAAGCCAGGGCCGAAGTTGGTGGTGCACTACACAGGACTGGTTCAACCCCCGAGGGAGGTGTGGTGCGAGCAGGTCACCGGACACTCCGCACTCATTGTGTGGAACACAGGTAGGCACCTCATGCTTTCTGCAGTGTTGCACTTAATAATTTTGACGTTTACGAGGTATACAGCTTTTCCATTGGACGACAGGTCAGTCACATGACTGAAACTGATGTTCATAAGCGCATGAACAACACATTTTGATGTGAGTATGTTTTCCACTAGACTGTATTCTTAAAATGACATAAACACTGAGAGACTACTTTCATATTCCTGGGGAAATTCCTGGTAATTCCCTAGCATGAATATATACGTGTTGTTTCTAATCATTTAGACCCTTTAATTTTGAATTCAGCATTTTAGCATATATTGAAAAATTACAGAAAGTTTGACTGCATGCCCTGTCACAAATATCCGTGCTACGACTCATCCTAGTGAACAAAACAAAGAAGTGCACATTCAAACTATCGACTAGATCTGTGTCTAGACTGACAGTGACACTCTTCAGCAATCTATGAATTCACCTCAGTATTTATTTGACACATTGTTATTATAACCTTCCAATGGTCGGCCAATGGATTCACTGGCACGGGTTCATCAACAGCTTTGGAAATCTCTCTTGGTAGTTCTTGGTAGGTCTTGGCATACCTTATCATGCACACATAGGCTCCTGTCACCTCTCCTTTTCAAGCTCTGACATTCATACAGTATGGACCTCACTCTATGAAGGTTCTTAGGTTCAAGCTCTGACATTCATACAGTTTGGACCTCACTCTATGAAGGTTCTTAGGTTCAAGCTCTGATATTCATATTGTATGGACCTCACTCTATGAAGGTTCTTAGGTTCACGCTCTGATGTTCATACAGTTTGGACCTCACTCTATGAAGGTTCTTAGGTTCAAGCTCTGATATTCATACAGTATGGACCTCACTCTATGAAGGTTCATAGGTTCAAGCTCTGATGTTCATACAGTTTGGACCTCACTCTATGAAGGTTCTTAGGTTCAAGCTCTGATATTCATATTGTATGGACCTCACTCTATGAAGGTTCTTAGGTTCAAGCTCTGATGTTCATACAGTTTGGACCTCACTCTATGAAGGTTCTTAGGTTCAAGCACTGATATTCATATTGTATGGACCTCACTCTATGAAGGTTCTTAGGTTCACGCTCTGATGTTCATATAGTTTGGACCTCACTCTATGAAGGTTCTTAGGTTCAAGCACTGATATTCATATTGTATGGACCTCACTCTATGAAGGTTCTTAGGTTCACGCTCTGATATTCATACAGTATGGACCTCACTCTATGAAGGTTCTTAGGTTCAAGCACTGATATTCATATTGTATGGACCTCACTCTATGAAGGTTCATAGGTTCAAGCTCTGATATTCATACAGTTTGGACCTCGCTCTATGAAGGTTCTTAGGTTCAAGCTCTGATGTTCATACAGTATGGACCTCACTCTATGAAGGTTCATAGGTTCAAGCTCTGATATTCATACAGTTTGGACCTCGCTCTATGAAGGTTCTTAGGTTCAAGCTCTGATATTCATACAGTATGGACCTCACTCTATGAAGGTTCTTAGGTTCAAGCACTGATATTCATACAGTATCGACCTCACTCTATGAAGGTTCTTAGGTTCAAGCACTGATATTCATACAGTTTGGACCTCGCTCTATGAAGGTTCTTAGGTTCAAGCACTGATATCCATACAGTATGGACCTCACTCTATGAAGGTTCTTAGGTTCACGCTCTGATATTCATACAGTATGGACCTCACTCTATGAAGGTTCTTAGGTTCAAGCACTGATATTCAAACAGTATGGACCTCACTCTATGAAGGTTCTTAGCTTCAAGCTCTGATATTCATACAGTATGGACCTCACTCTATGAAGGTTCTTAGGTTCAAGCACTGATATTCATACAGTATGGACCTCACTCTATGAAGGTTCTTAGGTTCAAGCACTGATATTCATATTGTATGGACCTCACTCTATGAAGGTTCTTAGGTTCACGCTCTGATATTCATACAGTATGGACCTCACTCTATGAAGGTTCTTAGGTTCAAGCACTGATATTCATATTGTATGGACCTCACTCTATGAAGGTTCTTAGGTTCACGCTCTGATATTCATACAGTATGGACCTCACTCTATGAAGGTTCTTAGGTTCAAGCACTGATATTCAAACAGTATGGACCTCACTCTATGAAGGTTCTTAGCTTCAAGCTCTGATATTCATACAGTATGGACCTCACTCTATGAAGGTTCTTAGGTTCAAGCACTGATATTCATACAGTATGGACCTCACTCTATGAAGGTTCTTAGGTTCAAGCACTGATATTCATACAGTATGGACCTCACTCTATGAAGGTTCTTAGGTTCAAGCACTGATATTCATATTGTATGGACCTCACTCTATGAAGGTTCTTAGGTTCACGCTCTGATATTCATACAGTATGGACCTCACTCTATGAAGGTTCTTAGGTTCAAGCACTGATATTCATATTGTATGGACCTCACTCTATGAAGGTTCTTAGGTTCACGCTCTGATATTCATACAGTATGGACCTCACTCTATGAAGGTTCTTAGGTTCAAGCACTGATATTCAAACAGTATGGACCTCACTCTATGAAGGTTCTTAGCTTCAAGCTCTGATATTCATACAGTATGGACCTCACTCTATGAAGGTTCTTAGGTTCAAGCTCTGATATTCATACAGTATGGACCTCACTCTATGAAGGTTCTTAGGTTCAAGCACTGATATTCAAACAGTATGGACCTCACTCTATGAAGGTTCTTAGCTTCAAGCTCTGATATTCATACAGTATGGACCTCACTCTATGAAGGTTCTTAGGTTCAAGCACTGATATTCATACAGTATGGACCTCACTCTATGAAGGTTCTTAGGTTCAAGCACTGATATTCATACAGTATGGACCTCACTCTATGAAGGTTCTTAGGTTCAAGCTCTGATATTCATACAGTATGGACCTCACTCTATGAAGGTTCTTAGGTTCAAGCACTGATATTCAAACAGTATGGACCTCACTCTATGAAGGTTCTTAGCTTCAAGCTCTGATATTCATACAGTATGGACCTCACTCTATGAAGGTTCTTAGGTTCAAGCACTGATATTCATACAGTATGGACCTCACTCTATGAAGGTTCTTAGGTTCAAGCACTGATATTCATACAGTATGGACCTCACTCTATGAAGGTTCTTAGGTTCACGCTCTGATATTCATACAGTATGGACCTCACTCTATGAAGGTTCTTAGGTTCAAGCACTGATATTCATATTGTATGGACCTCACTCTATGAAGGTTCTTAGGTTCACGCTCTGATGTTCATATAGTTTGGACCTCACTCTATGAAGGTTCTTAGGTTCAAGCACTGATATTCATATTGTATGGACCTCACTCTATGAAGGTTCTTAGGTTCACGCTCTGATGTTCATATAGTTTGGACCTCACTCTATGAAGGTTCTTAGGTTCAAGCACTGATATTCAAACAGTATGGACCTCACTCTATGAAGGTTCTTAGGTTCAAGCACTGATATTCATACAGTATGGACCTCACTCTATGAAGGTTCTTAGGTTCAAGCACTGATATTCATATTGTATGGACCTCACTCTATGAAGGTTCTTAGGTTCACGCTCTGATATTCATACAGTATGGACCTCACTCTATGAAGGTTCTTAGGTTCAAGCACTGATATTCATATTGTATGGACCTCACTCTATGAAGGTTCTTAGGTTCACGCTCTGATATTCATACAGTATGGACCTCACTCTATGAAGGTTCTTAGGTTCAAGCACTGATATTCAAACAGTATGGACCTCACTCTATGAAGGTTCTTAGCTTCAAGCTCTGATATTCATACAGTATGGACCTCACTCTATGAAGGTTCTTAGGTTCAAGCACTGATATTCATACAGTATGGACCTCACTCTATGAAGGTTCTTAGGTTCAAGCACTGATATTTATACAGTATGGACCTCACTCTATGAAGGTTCTTAGGTTCAAGCTCTGATATTCATACAGTATGGACCTCACTCTATGAAGGTTCTTAGGTTCAAGCACTGATATTCATACAGTATGGACCTCACTCTATGAAGGTTCTTAGCTTCAAGCTCTGATATTCATACAGTATGGACCTCACTCTATGAAGGTTCTTAGGTTCAAGCACTGATATTCATATTGTATGGACCTCACTCTATGAAGGTTCTTAGGTTCACGCTCTGATATTCATACAGTATGGACCTCACTCTATGAAGGTTCTTAGGTTCAAGCACTGATATTCAAACAGTATGGACCTCACTCTATGAAGGTTCTTAGCTTCAAGCTCTGATATTCATACAGTATGGACCTCACTCTATGAAGGTTCTTAGGTTCAAGCACTGATATTCATACAGTATGGACCTCACTCTATGAAGGTTCTTAGGTTCAAGCACTGATATTTATACAGTATGGACCTCACTCTATGAAGGTTCTTAGGTTCAAGCTCTGATATTCATACAGTATGGACCTCACTCTATGAAGGTTCTTAGGTTCAAGCACTGATATTCATACAGTATGGACCTCACTCTATGAAGGTTCTTAGGTTCAAGCTCTGATATTCATACAGTATGGACCTCACTCTATGAAGGTTCATAGGTTCAAGCACTGATATTCATACAGTATGGACCTCACTCTATGAAGGTTCTTAGGTTCAAGCTCTGACATTCATACAGTTTGGACCTCGCTCTATGAAGGTTCATAGGTTCAAGCTCTGATATTCATACAGTATGGACCTCACTCTATGAAGGTTCATAGGTTCAAGCTCTGACATTCATACAGTATGGACCTCGCTCTATGAAGGTTCATAGGTTCAAGCTCTGACATTCATACAGTTTGGACCTCGCTCTATGAAGGTTCATAGGTTCAAGCTCTGACATTCATACAGTTTGGACCTCGCTCTATGAAGGTTCATAGGTTCAAGCTCTGACATTCATACAGTTTGGACCTCGCTCTATGAAGGTTCATAGGTTCAAGCTCTGACATTCATACAGTTTGGACCTCGCTC